CTATACCTAGCCCTCTTATACTATTAAGTAAGTTCTTTATAATATATATACTATATTTCTTTATAAGGTAAAATATTATACTTAATTTAATATAATAGTTATTTATATTTATCTTATAAAAGCTAGGCTAAAGAAGTAACTTATTATTTATAATATAAAGGCCTCTATAGTTATTAAGAACTATACTCTTACTAAAAGTATATAGGCTAATAAGTAAGGTTAAGAATATACTAAAAGTTAAAAAAAGCCTTACTAAGGTTTTACTAAATAAATAAAAGTTAATAGTAACTATAATAAAGGTACTTTATAAGTAAAAAAAGTTAAATCTTTCTTTTTTTACTTCTTTTATACTTTACTTTTAAGGTTTAACTATTTTAGCTATAAAAGCTTTATAATAATAGCCTTTATTACTTATTTACTTAGGTTTACCTAAATAATTCTTAACTTACTAAAGAGTATATACTTAATATACTTATAGTTAATAGGTTTCTATAGGTAGTTAGGCCTTTTATAAAGGTATTTAAAGTACTACTTTTTATCTTATAGTTTATTTTTTTTTAAAGGTTATATATACTTTTATTACTTTATAAGATTTTATAGGTATTATTTATAGTAAATTACTTAGTAACTTACTATATTTTTTTAGGGTTATTTACTATCTCCTATATTATTTAGTCTTTATAAAGTTATTTAGTTTACTACTTACTTAAGAGAAAGTAATTTACTACTTAATAGTGTATAAAAAGGTCTTAATTAAAAGAATACCTTAGATCTTAAGGATACTATATACTTTAGCCTTTATTAAGGTAGTCTATTATTCTTTAAGCTAAGTAAATAAATTATTTATTAATAAGGTATATATAAAAGTCTTATTATAATTATTATAAGCTATATTACTTACTATATTATAAAAAAAAGTATATTATTATTTAATCTTTAAAATAGTAGTATAAAGAGTAAAGTTAATATTATTATTTAGTAATTATAGCTATATACTTTTTATAATCTCCTCTATAACTATAGTATTAACTTAACTTAATAATAAGTTATTTACTTTTTACTATTTATATATTTTTAGCTTAGTAAAAAATAAATTACTTATAGTAATAATCTATTCTTATTTTATTACTTTATTATTAATAGTTACTACTACTAACTAAATAGGCTTTTAGCTTTACTACTTTACTTATTAACTAACTAAGAGATTATTCTAGCTTATAAAGTTAGCTTTATATTACTTTTAGTGTTTAATATTTTACTTTATAATATATTTAGCTAGTATAAGTGCTCTAAGGTACTTTAGGAGCTTCTTTTTACTATCTAGGATAATAAATTACTAGACTTTATATTAGGTAGTATAAAAGTAAAGCTTTATATACTATAAAAACTAATCTTTATATATAGTTAAAAAGCTATAAAAGTAAATATTAGTTAGTAGACTTACTATTACTTCTAAAGGTATTATAGGTATAAGATAAAGTTAAGAAAGAGTATTAGTTTTAAAAAAAGTATTTCTAAGTATATACTACTTTATAAAAGTAAAGGTTATTATTACTTATAAATTAAGTTAAAGCTAGGCTTATAACTATTATTAAGTAGTATATTTAGGTGATAATTTATATTATTAAAAGTAGCTTATTTCTTTTATCTATAGTACTATAATCTATATTCTTTAAATATTACCTTATTTAGTAGATTTTACTATAAGTATCTATATTTAGGAACAAGGGTTATATTAATAAGTAATATTATTCTAGAAAGTAGTGTTAGTTAGTAATATCTTATATAATATACTAATATATTTAACTTTTATAGTATATTAACTAGTTAATTAGTAAACTTAATTTTACTTTTTTTAACTTTATTATTAGCCTTAATTTAAGTAACTTTATATTAAATAGCTAAGTAAGTAGTACTATAATACTTTATAGTAAAGTATATAGTTTAAACCTTACTTTAGCCTTAGCCCTTCTAGGCTAGTAAGCCTAGATAGTATAATATAGCCTACTTAGCCTTCTAATAGGTATTAAGGTTAAAACTAAGTATTTTTAATAACTATTAATTAAATAGATTAATTAATATAAAATTATTTAAATCTAATAATAATTATAATTATTATTATTATTTATAAGTTAGGCTAGATTTAATAGTAAGGGTAGATTTAAAATTTAGGTGTAGACTCTTAAGGTAATAATAAGTCTAGTGTATAGGCCTATGCTACTCTAGTAGACAAGTAGTAAAGAAGAGTAATATAAAGTATAGCTATGATCTGCGACCTGCGCTACACTAGAGTATACAACATCTATAACCTACCCTTGCTTTAGAGTAACTTAACTACCTTATATCTACACTACCTCTACTTCTATATAACTCTAATACAGTAGATTATTACTAAAATACACTATGTTTTCTAGCCTTAGGCATCTACTATAGTAAAGCTATAAAATTTAAGATAAAAATATTCTAAAATATATTAATCTTAATAGTATTTTTCTATATCTATATACTATTTTTTAACTAATCTATAATTAGGTAATAGTAGTAAATACCTAAGTTTTCTTTTACTAAGAAAACCTTAGTATTTTCTAAAACTCTAGAAATCTTAATAACTATATATATAATAAAGCTAAAACTTTATAAAAAATAGTATAAGCTTTCTTATTGCTTATATATATATAAAAGTACTATATATAGTATATATAGCTACTATATATAGATTTAGTTACTTCTTATATAGAAAGTAAAAATTAAAAAATAGGTTTTCTAGAATATTTAGCTATATATATAAAGTAAATTCTTTTTTACTTATACTATATACTAAGCTACTTATATACTATTTTATATATAGAAGTTTTACTATACTATATAGTATTAGAACTAAAATACTACGTTAAAGTAGTAATAGTTATATTTAATTTTTAAAAAGTTTTTTAATAATAATATTATAAACTTTACTACTTAAAGCTTATACTACACTATTTTCTTTTAACTAGTCTTTTATAAAGTACTTTACTAACTTATATTTATAGTATAATATATAAAGAAACTATAAAACATATAAAAGTATAGTAGTTTTATAATAATACTAAAGTTACTACTATAAATATAGACTATTAATTAGTTACTATAAACTTATTAATATACTTCTATAGTAATATAACTACTTTAGTATTCTACTATATTTTTATTTAGCTTTTTAGTTACTTATACTAATTTATTTTTAATTTTTTATTATATATCTTATTTTAAGAATAAACCTTATTTATAACTAATATAAAAAAGCTTAGTAAGTAAAATATATTAAATTAAGTATCTTTTTATTTTATATTATACTATATATAAGTTATTTACCTAGAGGCCTAGTAATATAAGTAGTATAAGTAAGAAGAAAGTAGTAAAGTTAAGTAATTATAGCTTACACTTATAGTGTGGCTTTTAACTGTGGCTTAGTATTAAGTTAACTAAAAAACTTCTGTATCCCTTAGACAAAATTTGAACGCTGGCTTTGTTACTGTAAGATAATGGCTATGGGCACTTAACCAGGTAGGGCTCAATGGTAGGTATTGGTGTATTGTAAGACTTAAGCTTGCAGAGCCTAGACAATAGGGGCTCTGCTGCTAGAAAACTAGATGGTGGGGTGGGGCGCCGGAGGCTCGGCGACCTATCGCCGAGACCCACAGCCATTGCCATGAATCCTGTTACAGTTACTAATAACCTCCTGAACCTGTGTTGTCTACTACGTTATTTCTGCTTCTTGTTGTTTATTTCTATTACCATATGTTAGTTAATCTATTTACTTCTTCTATCCTTGCTTATTTACTCTTTTCCTAAAGCTTTATTTGCCTAGGCTTCGTGTCTAGCTTAAGGGCGCACGCTTATATCTCGCCTTCATACTCCTGGTTCCCTCAATTCCCCAGCACCCCTGCTCGGGGTGCCTCTTGCGTTTGCGGACCATCAATTTAGGGAGCCTCGCCCCACGCGGATGAGTAGACCGTCGCAATGTCACACCAGCTTTATATCGCAGGCGCAAGTCACACTCTGCGTTCTGAGAATTACGGAGCAGGTCATCACTAGCTTAGCTTCTCTATAAACTTGGACAGCGGCGCTGGCAATGGCCAGGTTAACAACAATGGCCAAGTGAACTAAAATCTAGTAAAACTTAGGGGCTAGCTACAAAATTCTATTACAGTGACTAAATTAGTTTACTGTAACACAAAGTCTCTAGAGGCTACACTAAGGTGAAGATGTCACAATATATAAGCTACTATTACTGCCTACATAACAACAGTATTGTTTTATTATATAACAGTTATTATAAGCCCAGCTCCTACCTGCTAGTATGCTACAATAGTATATATGTCAATTTTAAGCAGAGTAACTAGCTATAGATCTTAAGCACCGTAGGTTTAATTCCTATAAGGGTCCCTTAGTTAAAAATCTTACTAAAGTTTATAGATCCTTACTACCTATGATTGGCGAGATGTACCTAACTAGGTTTTTATTAAAAGTGTGTTCTGATCTGACTTTCTAGGTCAAATCTAGGGGGTGTGTCATAATATATAAGCTACTATTACTGCCCACGTAACAACGGTATTGTTTTGTTACGTGACAGAAGACAACAGTGGCCTATGAGTAGTATTAAGGTTCTTTAGTTAGTAAACACGCTGTCAACTAATGTTGTTTAATTAGCAACCACATACTAGGCGTCTACAACTACATCTCTTAAGTGAAGCATCCAGTGTTCCTAAACACCTTTCTTATAATTGTGCTGTAAGCATGTTGTTCTTAGCTAGTTAATGGGTGTTGGATAATGTTTCCCTTTGTTGCGTTGGCCTCTTTGCTAACCTTACTAGATCATGCATGTTGTTTGAATACATGTTTCACATCTCCTAGAGCTTGATTAGGAATCAAAACAGGTGAATCAAGTTGATCTACTAGTCTCTTCGCACCCATTGTAAATTCACATTCACCTCTCGTTCAATTTATGGGCCTAATGGCACCTAAGACACGTTGGCGTCTCTCTTCGCCCGGCGAAGCTTCGCATACAACGGTCTCTTTAGGCCAACGATGTATGCTTTCTGGTTCATCCAATCCCAGCTTTCCTCGCAGATTTCCACGTCATATGTGAAGAAGAACTTAGCTGCCAGAAGTCTTGCTTCGTGATAGGCGAGACTATATTCACCAGTCAGATCTGATACCCATCAAGAACAGAGGCGGAGTGGGCTGATACTTTTTACCAATACAGTCTCTGGAACCCGAAGAGAAGGCCTGGACAGCCTCCAAACAGTCGTTTTCAAACTCTGCAGGAGGTGGCGCGAGCCACCGCTCGGGGATAAACTCGTTGGGGCGGGCAAAGTGAATGGCAGAATGATACGAGGCAGACTGCGCGTAGAAAACTACCGTCTGTAGATACGTCAGCGGGGAGCAGTATTTCTAGTCCGAGTACGGAAGACCAACATCGGGAGGAAGAACATGGCCGTCGAGTACGGCCCCTTGCGGTCCGGTCCGACGAGGAAGCCCGCCGGGGACGGGAGGATAACAGCGGAGTCCTTCCTCGATGCAGGCCTGAAGGTACTCTAGACGGGGCAAAGTCAAGGTTGTCATTTCCTCGGCCGAAGTGAAGTTCTTGTAAAGCTCATCCTTGAGCTTCCTCAGCTTGTCCGGATGTTGTGCCAAGAGGAAAGCCAGCGCCGTCATCAAGGACGAAGTCGTCTCGGTGGCAGCCGTCAGCATGAGAAAGCCGTTTTGACGCATCTCGCCGAAAGTCATGCCCTCGCCCTTGCCTTCCGCCTCCTGGACGAGAGTCCACATATCCGGGTGCCCGGTGTTCTTCTTGCGCAACCGCGCGGCGACCTTGTCATCGCAGAACTGGATGTGCACCATCCTCTTCTTGATCATGGACTTTGGCATCAGCAGCGTGAAGACCTTGTCCATCCAATCAAAGGACCGAATAGCTCTGCGCCAGGCACTGAACTTGACTACCCCGGATATGTTGGCTAGAAAGGGGTGGTATTCCATTCGCTCCAGGTGATCGAGACCTTCGCCGAAGACAAGGTCGGCGGCAAAGTCAAAGGTTGCAAAACTGAAAAACATGTGCAGGTCGACTCTGCCGTTGGCCTCGCAGAATTCGCCAGACTTCTGCACGAAGAGATCAGTGTACTTCTTCAGGAGTCCCTCTTGCTCGCGAATCGCCCTGTCACTGAAGGCCGGCGCAAAGACTTTTCGCTGACGGCGATGATCTTCGTCGCTGGCCGTCATAAGCCCCTCGGTCCCGTCGCCCCGCTGGTTCTTCATGTAATAGGCTTTGAAATCCTTGCCAATTTGACGGGCAGCATTGCGATGTCCGTAAACGTCTGTCGCCGCGACGGGGTTGATGGTGCTCAACTCGCCGGGGGCGACACGCGCGTACAATCCGTACCTCTCGTGGAGCCTGGCGTAGGTGGCAACCTCATTGCCGGTTATGCGTTGTATGGTTATAGGGATCTGAGAGGCTGCATAGTACCATGGGCCTGGAAACTGGGAGAGCGGGTGCAGGTAAACTCGATAGATTGCGAGAAACAGGGCATAGACGATCATCTACTCCGGTAAACGTCATTTGCTGGTTTATCGGCGGACACAGGTTAGGTAGGCTTCTTACCGCGGCAACACCAAAAAGGCATACCGACAAAAAGATTGAGTTTGCCATTCTGGATTCCTAGCTTTTATCGGGATTAGATTCGTAAACACTGTTCGACTAATTTCAGAGGCCAGGTGTATAACGATGCAAGTTATAGTGAGCTGTTTGCTTTTACCCTAAGAGGATGTTCCGTTGTCATTCACGGATGCTCTTGAAGACAGAGAGGATGCATGAGATTCTTCTGATTGTCGAATGACCCGGACCAGAGCTGTCTCTGTGATACCACGTACTTGAAAGGCTGTTGTGTTCCGTCCATTTTACTCCAGGGAACAGCCCAGCCACACGGGTTCAAGTGAAGTGCCTGGTGAGATCTGCAGTCAGCTTACGGATGACGGCAGAGACCCTAAACCTTCCCAAGGTAAAGCATGATACAGAGTTATATAAGAAAGTTAGGCTTTTCTGGTTTTTCCCCATCGGTATTTCATCCTCCACACCACTCACTTCTTAAGTGGATAATTGTTAAAAGTTAAACGGGCGACTTGGTAGAAACTTTATACTTCATGCAACATGAAGATTCAATCAACAAGATTCTAGCTCACAGAGGTCTATAACCACAACTTTAATTTTGGAGGATGACCCTGTTGATTACACTGGCTTCCATTTCGGCATTGCTTTAGGTTAGGATATCGTTCTTTGGGTGCTTAGTCAACGCGAGCGGCATCGCAAACAGGGTTATACCGGCCATCAAAAACATACACACATTTAGAACGCTCATCAGCCTCAGACACGGACTGCTAAGATGCTTACTGTAAGCTCCTCCTGTTCCCCGTTTCGGCCGGGCGAGACCGTCAGTTCGACCTGTATAGATTCCAAGTCGGGAAAGGTGGTCTACCGCGTCTCCAACTCTTACCTCGGGAATCAAACCCGCAGCGATGTCTTTGGGCTATCCGCATCCGTGAGAAACACCACGATATATCAATCTTATTTCATCGAGGTTCCTGCGCTTAAGGCAAGGCACCTCGTCCTATATCGTTGTGCCATCCGTCACATCTATAACGTATCGTCGTTGCGTGCATAGTAATAGCGACGGGTCCATCTTCAATCAATAACTTCAAGAGAAGGTTGACAAAGGATATCGAACAAGCTTCCTCTGGCGTCTCCGCCACCCTCTCCTTGCCTGCGCATATCCTTCCATCGATCATCTTACGACACCGGATCCCGAACACCCGGCATTTCTTGCGCGGATCCGGCAAAACATCAGCCGCCATGTTGAGCGAGACTCGACCCCCGATTGCCATTATCGGCTTGTCATGCCGCTTTCCCGGCGATGCCACAGACCCTTCAAAGTTCTGGGACATGCTCAAGAATGGACGAGATGGCTACACGCCCAGAACAAACCGATACAACGAAGATGCATTTCATCATCCAGGAGGCGGCAACAAGCGCCAAAACGTTTTGCCTGTCAAGGGCGGGTATCTGCTTCAGCAGGACCCCTACGTATGGGACGCCGCCTTTTTCAACATCACAGCCGCCGAGGCCATCGCGTTTGACCCCAAGCAGCGGATCGCTATGGAGGTCACGTACGAAGCTCTCGAGAACGCCGGACTGTCTTTGCGCCAGACGGCCGGCACTCAGACCGCCTGCTACATGGGCACCTCTATGAGTGATTACCGGGACTCGATTGTACGGGATTTCGGTAACTATCCCAAGTACCATCTGCTCGGGACCAGCGACGAAATGATTTCGAATCGCATCTCTCACTTCCTCGACATTCATGGCCCCAGCGCGACCATCGAGACGGCCTGCTCCTCCAGCCATGTTGCCATCCACCTTGCTTGCCAGAGCCTGCAGTCCGACGAGTCAGAAATGGCAATCGCCGGCGGCGTGGGCATGACTTTGGTCCCAGAGAGCACGATGCAACTCAACAACCTGGGCTTTCTCAGCCCCCTTGGCCAATCACGAGCCTTTGATGCCAAAGCAGGCGGGTATGCTCGTGGCGAAGGCTGCGGGGTCATCGTATTGAAGCGGCTGGATAAGGCTATTGCGGACGGTAACGAGATCCGTGCCGTCATCCGGGGCTCGGGCGTCAACCAAGACGGATGGACTCGGGGCGTCACGATGCCTTCAGGGGACGCACAGGCTGCCCTGATCAAATACGTCTACGAGTCCAATGGGCTCGACTACGGCGCCACGCAGTACGTAGAAGCACATGGTCCGGGGACTCAGGCCGGCGACCCTACCGAGACTCGTGCTATCTACGAAACCATTGGGGCGCAGGGGCTTAAGAGCAACCCTTCCCGCAAGAAGCTCTGGATCGGCAGCGTGAAGCCTAACATCGGCCACCTCGAGTCGGCCGCCGGCGTCGCTGGCCTGATCAAGGGCATCCTCGCCATGGAGAAGGGCTTCATCCCGCCCAACATCCATTTCGACGAGCCCAACCCGGCCATCAAATTTGATGAATGGGGCTTGGCCGTGCCCACGAAGCTAACCCCCTGGCCTGCTTGTCAGACGCGGCGTATGTCGTGCAGTTCTTTCGGCATGGGCGGAACAAACGCCCACATCGTTCTCGAACGGCCCGGCAATCTGCTTCTCGAGGAAGCAGACGCCGCAAAGAGCGGCTTCCCGTCTCCCGAGCGCAAGACAAGGCTCTTCACCTTTAGCAGCCACGACCAGGCCGGCTTCAAGCGCATCGGGCCCGCGCTCGCCGAGCACCTGGACCGTCTCGGCCCGGCGGCCTCGACGCCGGAGTACATGGCCAATCTGTCGCACACCCTCGCCTCGGGGCGCTCAGGTCTATCATGGAAGGCCTCTTGCTTCGCTGGCGGTGCTGAGGACCTCAAGACGCTACTTGTATCAACTCTTGGAGACAACGCCACGCGTCAGTCCAACAACGAGGAACCGCGTGTCGCATTTGTCTTTACGGGTCAGGGCGCCCAGTGGGCGCGCATGGGGATCGAGCTGATGGAGCGCAGGGTCTTTGCCGACTCGGTCAACAAGTCGGCCAAGCTGCTGCGCGAGTTTGGTGCAAGCTGGGACCCGCTGACGGAGCTGTCCAAGGTCAACAAGATATCTCGCCTCAGCGGTCCTGAGATCAGCCAGCCCATCTGTTCTGTGCTGCAGATTGCTCTGGTCGACCTCCTTCGGAGCTGGGGCATCGTTCCCCGCAAGGTCGTTGGCCACTCCAGCGGCGAGATCGCGGCCGCTTACTGCATCGGCGCGCTAACTCATCGCGACGCCTTGGCCGCGGCATATTTCCGCGGCGTGGCCTCTTCTAGCGTCCAGGGTTTGAACGGAGGCATGATGGCGGTCGGCCTGTCCCCCCAAGAAGTCGCAAAGTACATATCAGATGCCGGTGTCCATGTCACCATCGCCTGTATCAACTCTCCATCGAGCGTCACTCTCTCCGGCAGTGCCGATGCCCTCGAGACTCTGCGGACCCTGCTCGACAAACGCGGTATCTTTGCCAGGCGCCTCAAGGTCGATGTCGCCTACCACTCCCCGCAGATGCAGACCTGCTCCATGGATTACCTCACCTCCCTCGGCGACCCAAAGTGCGTGATAACGCCAGAGAGCGGCGAGCCGGTCGTCATGGTTTCCAGTGTCACCGCTAGCGAGATTGATCCCGAAATGCTCAATCCCTTCTATTGGGTACGCAATCTGATCTCTCCCGTGAGGTTCTCCGAAGCTCTCGTCGAACTTGTTACTCCTGCAGGAGAAGAAGAGGGCGAAGCGGTTGATATCCTGGTCGAAGTCGGCCCTCACAGCGCGCTGCGTGGCCCTATCGAGCAGATACTGACGCACCACGGCATCAAGAATGTCGCCTACGCGTCGACGCTTGTGCGAGAGGAAAACGCCGTCGACACCTGCATGAGGCTCGCCGCGGACATGTTCCGCCGCGGCGTGTCTGTCAAGGTCGCCGAGGTCAACGGCGATTCTCGCGTGCGACTACTGACCGACCTGCCGCCCTATCAGTGGAATCATTCCAGAGTGTTCCGCGCTGATTCGCGTTACCAGCGCGAGATTGTCTCCCAGAAGGACCCGGCCAAGAGCATCTTGGGCGTGGAGCAGCCTAGCATGAGCGATTCAGAGCGCGTTTGGCGAGGATTTATCCGTCTCGAGGAGGAGCCGTGGCTACGCGACCACACCGTCGGTAACATGGTTCTGTTCCCCGGCGCCGCCGTCGTCAGTGTCGTGCTCGAGGCCGCGCAGCAGATGTTCGACAAGGGGAAGAGGCCTCGCTCTATCAGAATGAGAGACGTCATGTTCAACACAATGATGGCTCTTAGCGAAGACGAGGCCACTGAAATCATTATTCATATCCAGCCTCACCTTCTCGGCACCGCGGGGTCTGCCCAGCCCACCCCGTGGTTCGAGTTCACCGTATCATCGGCGACAGGTGCAACCGGCTCCGTCCGTAGCAACGCCCGAGGTCTGTTGTCCATCACCTACGAAGAAGACCGCGGCCCTCAGATGATGCGAGAAGACGCCAATACGGAAAGAGCTCGCATCGACGAGCACCGCAGGATCCTCGGCGAGTGTCCCGAGGGGTGCCCCAAGGACAGGTTCTACGATACCCTAGCCAAGTCGGCTCTCCGGTATGGCGATGTCTTCCGCGGGGTCAGGTCTTGTCATCCCGGAAACGGCAAGTCTGCGTTCGAGATCGAGGTGACGGATATTGGCGAGACCTTCACCAAGGGCAGACTCGACCGGCCTTTTCTCATCCACGGCGCGGCGCTCGACGCTGTTCTTCAGGCCTGGATGGGCACGACGAGCGGAGCCAACGGTCCCGATTCCTTCGGTTTCGATAATGCAATGCTGCCTAAGAGCATTGGAGAGCTGGAGATATCGGTCGATATTCCCGCCGAGGTCGGCTACGTGATGCCCGGATACAGCCGCTCTCGCCGGCACGGCTTCCAGGAGTGGTCGGCCGACATTGTCACGCTCGATAGCCATCTTTCGCGCGTGTTTCTCTCCATCAAGGACTTCCGTCTGGCGGAGCTCGAGGTGGATCACAACGCAGGGGCAGTACCCGACGGAGAGCAAGTCAACGTCGATCCGGCCGAGATCTCCTTCGAGCCTCGGTGGAACTACGCTCTCGACATGATGACTCGAGACGAGGTCCGGGATGTAATCTCCAAGGTCCCTGCCACCACCGCCTACAGCAGACTCGTCGAGGTAAGTCGTATTCCGTGGATGGAGAGTTGTAACCCGTGTGTGCATGCAAAAAGACGAGGGCCCTCTGCTAACACGAAATCACAGCTCATTCTCTTATACATTCACAACCATCCTGCAGCCATCGTCGTCGAGTTGGCCGCGGCTCCCGGGGATCTCGAGAACGCGGTTGTGTCCAGAATCCCCGAGGAGGTCATCAACTGGACCCAGATCCGATATGCCCTGTCTCACTCTGCCGAGAAAGAGGACAAGGGCGACGTCCAAGAGCGCCTACAGGAACAGTCCTTCCCCCTTGGGCCCCTCGACACCCCTCTTGCTGCCGACGCCCCCCGTGCGGACCTGATCATCGTCCCGCACCACGCCATAGAAGACTCTACGCAAGATGGTTCTGGAATCGCGAAGCGCCTTCTGGGCCTAGCCAAGCCGAATACCATGATCTTTGTCGTCGATTCGAACGGTCCAGACACCAGAGAAGACCCATTCACCTCGGCACTCGAGGCCGATGCCTTTGAGCTTTTTGTATCGATCCCCGCGGGTGTCAATTTGCTCACTCTTAGGGCGTTTGTAAAGGGGGGCGTGGCTGATGCCCAGCCAGGGGGTCTGGTCAACGGCGAGGTCGGCAAAAAGGCTATCATACTCGTCCCGGCCAAGCCGTCCGACGCGGTACAGACTTTTGCCGACGAGACGGGGCATATCCTCGACGGCCTCGGTTTTGTTACCTCGAAAGAGACCGGTCTCTGTGCCGAGATCGACCCCTCTGCCACGTATGTCTCGCTGCTCGAGCTAGAGAAGCCTCTACTGAAAGACCTGTCCGAGGCCGAGTTCGAGTTTGTCCGGGCCTTGATGCTGGACCCGGAGCGGCTCCTCTGGATCACTCGAGGCGGAAACACCTTTTTCGGTTTGATTGACGGTTTGGCACGGGTGGTCCGCAGTGAATACAACAGCACCAATATCCAGGTGTTGCATCTCATGAGCCCGGAAGCCGGACATGGCCCGCGCCTGGCCTCCCGCATTCTGCTTTCGCGCACCAGGGACAGCGAGTTCATGGAGGCCGGCGGCCACTTGAGGGTTTCTCGCATTTACAGGAACCTCGAAGAGGATGAGAGCGTTCGTCGTCACCTGTTCGACTCCACCCGCGAGCTGAGCCTCCTCCACAGGAGTCCCGATGCCCCGGCCATGAAGCTGGCCGTCGGCAAACCCGGGCTTCTCAACACCCTGCAGTTCGTGCCCGACGAAGTCATGGAATCGATGCCTCTCGGTGACGACGAGGTCGAGCTCCGGGTTATGGCGTCCGGTGTCAACTTCCGAGACATAATGGGCTCCCTGGGCCTCTTGCCCGTGTCCGGCATCGGCCAAGAGGCCAGCGGCGTCGTCGTCCGCGCGGGTAAGCTGAGCGTGGCAAACCTCGAGCCCGGCGACCGCGTGACCACGCTCTGCGTCGGCGGGGCCCACGCGACAAAGATTCGATGTCACTACCGCGTCGCCCATAAGATCCCCGACAACCTGTCTTTTGAAGAGGCTGCCGGCATCCCCGTGCCATACTGCACCGCCTACTACGCCCTGGTCAAGCTCGCAAGGCTCCAGCGGGGCCAATCCATCCTCATCCACGCTGCCGCTGGCGGAACTGGGCAGGCCGCGATCCAGCTCGCCAAGCATCTCGGCCTCATTGTATATGCCACCGTCGGCACCGATGAGAAGCGCCGGCTCTTGGTGGAGAACTACGCCGTCCTGGACGAGCACATCTTCTACTCCCGCGACGCCAGCTTCGCCAAGGGAATCAAGCGAGTCACCGGGGGCCGTGGTGTCGACTGCGTCCTCAACTCGTTGTCCGGCGAGCTCCTCCAGGAGTCCTTCGCCTGCCTGGCGACGTTTGGCACGTTTGTGGAGATTGGCCTTCGCGACATCACGGAGAACACGCGCCTGGACATGCGTCACTTCGCCAAGAGCACGACTTTCACCTTCATAAACATGGTAACGTTCCTCCAGGAGAACCCTAACGCGCTAGGGGAGATACTGGACGAGGTGTTTGGGCTCTTCTCCAAGGGCATCCTGAAGCCCGCCTGCCCCATGACGGTGTACCCCATCGGCAGAGTCGAGGATGCGTTTCACGTGATGCAACAAGGTAAACACATGGGCAAGATAGTTTTATCGTACAGCCAGGACGACGGGAGGGCACCGGTCCTCTGCAAAGCAAAGACGTCGCTCCAACTCGACCCCGCCGTCACGTACCTCATCGTCGGTGGCCTCGGCGGCCTGGGGCGCAGTTTGGCGACTGAGTTAGTCGCCTCTGGAGCGCGCAACATCGCGTTCATCTCCCGCTCTGGCGACCGCAAGCCCGACGCCAAGGTTACCGTTGACCGACTCGTCTCCCGTGGCGCAAACGTCAGGGTGTACCGTGCCGACGTCTCTGACGAAGCCGCGTTTCTCGCCGCCATGGATCGGTGCGCAGAGGATCTTCCGCCCGTAAGAGGCGTTATTCAGATGGCAATGGTCCTCCGAGACGTCGTCTTTGCAAAGATGAAGTATGAGGACTGGACGGCTGGTCTGCAACCCAAGGTCCGGGGCACGTGGAACCTGCACAAGTACTTCGACGCCAGCCGGCCCGTCGACTTCATGATCTTCTGCTCGTCCATCGCCGGCGTCTTTGGGAATCCCAGCCAGGCGCAATATGCCGCAGGCAACACCTTCCAGGATGCGCTTGCCATGTGGCGCCGCCACCAGGGACTCAAGGCCGTGTCTGTGGACTTGGGAATCATGCGCGACGTCGGAGTCATCGCCGAGGGAGCATCCAACTTCATGGCTGCCTGGGAGAAGGTTCTCGGTATTCGGGAACCCGTCTTCCACGCCCTCATGAAGAGCATCATCAATAGGCAGCAATCAAATGGCCCCTCCGACTTGGTTCCGGCTCAGATTGTCGTCGGCCTCGGCACCGGGGACATTATCGCCCGCAACGGCCTTGAGAAGCCCGCGTACTTTGACGATCCGCGCTTCGGGCCTCTGGCTGTTACCAGCTCCCTGTCTGATGTGAGGGGTGGCGCCGACGACGGTTCCAATGTTTCTCTTGCTTCCAAGCTCGCGGTGGCCAATGCCGACAAAGATCCGACCAGGGCTTCGAGTATCGTGAAAGAAGCCCTAGTCGATAGGGTAGCCGAGATTCTTCGCATCCCTTCCTCAGAAGTTGATGCCTCTCGGCCGATGTATCGCTACGGCGTGGACTCGCTCGTGGCGCTGGAGGTACGGAACTGGATTGCCAAGGAGATGAAGGCAAACATGCCTCTCTTGGAGATCCTGTCTGCTACGCCTATGGAGGCTTTCTCGGTACAGATTGCTAAGAGAAGTAAGCTGCTTGAGGACATAGACTTCTAGGCTCATCAGTCATGTCCTGCAGGGATTGTAGATCGGGACGGTGTAATTGGACATTAAATCGGCCTGTCGTTGGTGGTTTTACGGCGTTTGCTTTTTTCACGTCAACAGAACTCAAAGTTGTAAAACAGGCTATCCAGGTACCTACTAAAATTGGCATTTACTCTGTTATCCTAGATGATCATTTATAAATATTGTTACAAAGTAGGACCACTTGGGGGGCATTTTGTAGAGTTCAAAGTGGCTTGCTTTTTATGGTTAGTAACATACCGCAAGACGCGTTCCTCAATACCCTCGGGGTCGCGTGAGAGACAGCCTCGTTCGTCCAATGCTGACATCTAACTTGAGCGTTCCTTATTCAAGACTTATAACAAACGGTATATAATAATATATACAAAAAGTTTCAGTTATTTGGGAAGTTTTTATTTTTACTTACTGTTGCGTAACAAGAGCGATGAATCTGTTTTATAGCGACAAATACACATTAGGACATGACGATAAACGTATAGTCTTGCTTAATATCTACTAGACATCTTCTCGGGTACGTCTTTGAGCTTTACAGGTTGACATTGAATCTTGGCGCCGTCCGCAGGTACTCCCCGTACTTGATGAAGACCAGCGTGACCGGCCACATGCCCAGCGCGATGAAACCAAGCAGGGAATTTCCCCAGCCGAGACCTATTTTATTGAAGAGCTGAAGGGCGAACAAGGGGAGGATGGCACCAAAGACCGAGCGCAAGACGGCCGAGGCGCCAATGGCCGACGCCGCATAGATGGTGAACGCGTCCACGAGATAGAGGTTGATGCTTATGCTGGCAAGGCTCACCCCTGTGCCAATGATGAGGGTCCCCAGCAGAGGCACCGCCCACTGAACGCGGTTTTGTGCCGTCCATCCGTATATAAAAAACCCAGAGGGTATCAGAAAGCCGCCAAGCATCATGATGGGGAGTCGGTGTTCCGGCTTCGGCTTGCCGTCGGCCTGTCTTGCGGAGAGCATCTTCAGGAATTTGCTTCCCGTTGCCTGTTGGATCGCAAGGGCAAGCAGCATGCCGATACCGAGCCCAATGTACACCAGACCAACAGTTGCTGGTGTGAAGCTGTATTGACCTTCGAAGACAAAAGTAAAGGTGCTAAACATGAAATAAAGCATAGCGTAGATGAAAGCATTGTACACGCTCAGCAGAAAACAAACGGGGGAGAGAATCAACAGCTTGGAAGGGCGCAGGATGGACCGGAGAAACAATTCTTTCGGGGCAACCTGTGATTCAAGTTTGGACCGCAATGTCCAGTTTCCCGTCTCGGTCTGGAGTCGCCTCGCTTTCCTCCTTAAAAGAACCCCGGCGTTTGTTTCGTGCAGAAATACAAGGCTTGAGATTGCAATGGCGGCGGAAGTGATGGTGAGGATCCAAAAAATCCAACGCCAGCCTATGTTCTCCGAAACAAACCCTCCGGCAATAGGGCCGAGCACGGGTCCCAGGATCGGTCCCAGACTCCAGATAGACATGGCTTTCCCCCGCTCCCGGATGGTTGTGAGATCGCCAATGGAGCCGCCGCCAATCGTCACAGCACCCGCCCCCACAAGTCCTGCCAGGAAGCGAAAACCGATAAGCATGTCCATATTCTTTGACAAACCGCATGCTGCTGTGAATACTACAAAGATGATGTTGCCAATGTGATATATGATTACTCTCCCATAAAGTTCGCTCAGCGGTGGCAATATAAGAGGCCCTCTGAGTCATCGGCAACATTAGCAAGAGGCTGTGTGCGTTCTACATGCGACTGGAGACGGCACGTACATGGCGAGACCGAGAACGTACACGGAAACTACAAAAGTAGCCGACGACTCGTTTTGTGTGTTGAATTCGTCGAGAATCTGAGGCACGCCGGGTGCAAGCATCGTTGAAGCAAGCGGAATGTTGAAGGTAATAATGGAGAGAAGAGTGATGTTTCCCCACTTCTTCAGCGGTGACCTTGGAAAGAAAAGAGGTCAGCAATCAGGATTCGAGAATCAGTATCCAAAGTTCAAACATGCCAGTTGAGAGGATTCTCTGGGTCGTCAGGCCCGTCCCAGTCCACAATATTTGGGTCACGGTTGTCCTCGGTCCAGACACCATTCGTTATAGGGCCAGTGGAGGGGTTATTGGTGCCACATGTCTCCTCGTGATGATCCGATACTACGTCCTGCTGGACCGTCATCTCCTTCTCGCCCTCTAGCCCTCTTTCCGGGCACCCTCGATCGTTATTCCGTTCGGGGAATGGGTATTGCTCGAGGTCGCAGCTGTCGCATTTCGGCGAGGCTGTACTGGACTTTTGGGTTTCTTCCGGAGACGACATGGTTCATGACATGTCAGCAATTTCAAAGTGATTGTTTGTTTGTGTCAGCAGGCAAACTATAAAGAGAAAGGAGACAAACGGCGATAAGAATAGTATTGGCCTTGATATAGAGCGTGGCTCAACGTGTGTTTGATAAAGAACGGTTAGCTTTACATAATTGCTAGCGGTAATGCCCCCCTGAACGTTGTTTCTCACAGTTTTCAATAGGTTTCATGTGCTTATCTTTAAGGACTATCATCAAGGTAGCAAAGTAATAAACTTTAAACTTAATGATTATGTGCAGATGTATTTGTACAAGTAACTAAGAAATAGAGTTCGTTTAAACTTACTGAGCAATTTGAATTTAACTTGTAATGCTTACAAGAAAGTTGTTACACAAAACGATACTATTAACTATAGGCAGTAACGAAAGTCTTATATCACGTTGTGACACACACCTCTAGATCGCAGAAAGTTTTGTGTGTTCTACTTACATTATTACTAGGTAGGGAACCCAATAGCCCCCCAAAAGTACACACTGCCTGCCCAAGGGCAGATACTACTGTATCCTCTGACTTACCTAGAAATCTGCTATACTACGCACTATCTGTAACCCCCTACTTCTCACTGTAACCCCTATTTTTTAGCCCCCTCCATAAGGAAGGGGTCTTTAGTTTATTAGACCTATGACCCCTAGGTATATATAGAAACAGAATTATCTAGAAAGACTATATACTAACAGTTTCACTATTTGCCTAGCTTATAAAAAGAAGAAGGCAAAAGGTAGAAGGCAAAAGGAAGAGGGGATAACAGAGTACAAGGGATACTAGTTAGAAGGAGGGAAAAGGGATGTATTTGGGTTCTGACTGACTCAGTCGTGCAAAAGTAAAAAGGGTGCGTGTTGGAACAGCAATTCACCCTGATTCGCACGCATGAGTCAGCAGCTAGAAAGTCTATATACAGTCTGTTGCGTTAGCAGCGTCCAAAACCTACTTTTTAGTCTATACGTTAGCAACACTATTATAATAACTACCCTAGTTAGGGTCACGTAGGGGGATTACTTTACTAAGTAGCTATATACTTTTAAATTATTTTATATTATATAAATACTATAGTGTAAATAGCTTTAATTAATAAGCTTATTACTATTACTATTTAATAATAGTACTAAAGAAGAAGGGAAATACTACCTCTAGTAGTATAAAGGTATTACTAGTACTACTAGCTAATAGTACTTAAGCCTATAAGGCTACCTATAAAAGATTATTATTATATATAGTTATTAAGTACCCTATAGTAGTAGTAATAAGGTTAATAATAGTTATTAAGATACTATAAAAGCTAGTAGTTACTATAGTAGTAGTAAAAAAATTAATAATAACCTTTAAAACACTAAGAAAGTTAGTAAAAGTAACTATTAATAAAGAAAAAGTTAGTAATAATAATAATAATAATAATAATAGTAATAGTAGTAAGCTTACTAATAATAATAAAGAGCCTATATAATAAGTACTTTTTATTTTTAACTTTTTTAAAATACTATTATAAACTTTATTACTATTATAGTAGTAATAAAAAGTAACTACTACTATAGCTACCTTTTTACTACTACTACTACTAACTAAAGTAATAATCTATTTTACCTTTAGCCTTTAGTTTAATAGTATTATAGTACTATAAGTCTAGCCTTTTTAAATAGTATAGTAGTTAATAAGTTAAGTATTAGTAAGTATAATAATTAGGTTAAAGTAAAAGAAGTAAATCTTAAAAAAGATAAAAGAGTACCTTTAAAGGTAACTTAGTAGGTAATACTTACTATTAAAGTTATAAATAACTATTAAGTTTAGTAAAAAAAGGAAAACTATAAAGGTAAAGAATAATATTTACTATAGTAATAACTTTAGTAAAGTAAGTAGTAAGTAGCTAGCTTTACTATAGACTAAACTTAGCTTTTAACTAAGTAACCTAGGCTACTAGACTTAAGATATTTTCTTTAGTATAAAGCTTATATACTTTACTAGTTTATCTATATTAGTATTTAGTATACTATAATTAGTTATAAAGTTAATAAGTAAGTAACCTAACTATTATAAGCACTTTAACTATAGTAAGTACTTTAACTATAGTAAGTATTCTAACTATAGTAAGTAACTTAACTATAGTAAGTAACTTAACTATAGTAGCTAGTTATTATATATAAAATTAATAAAAAAAATAGTAATAAGTTTAATAAAGGATAAAATTAACTAAGAAAAGGATATAAAAAAGGACCTATAGTAAGATTTAATAAAGTATTATTAGTGTATAAATTAAGTAAGTTACTATAATAGTAATAAGGTAAGTAATAATACTAACTAGTATTTAGTTATTAATAAAGTTTACTATAAGTTACTTACTAGTAACCTTAAAGGTTAATAAGATATAATACTTTACTATAAGGTAACTTTAAAAACCTTACTACTAGGCCTAGTAGTTATAGTTACTTAGTAGTAAGTAAAAAATAAAATACTTATATAAGGTAAAATTATAGGTAATTTACTCTCTATAGTAGTAATTAAAGGAGGTAAAAATCCTACTAGTAGACCTTTACTACTTACTATAAATAACTCTACTAGTAATATAGTAGTTAATTTATTCTTTAGTAGTAAAAAAGTTAACCTATATACTTAGTAGTAGTATTAACTACTTTTTTACTAGTAGCTATCTCTAATTTAACTTTATTATTATTTACTTATTACTTTATTAGTTACTTTATTACTAGTACTATAAACTCCTTATATAGTAAGAGAGGTTAAAGTGCTATTATTATTACCCTTATAACCTAGAGAGCAGTTACCTATAGTATAGTTACTAAAGTTAAGAGATTTTACTAGCTAGTTTCTTAAAGTTAAAAGGTAATAATAAGGCTATAAAGGTAGTACTAATATAGCCTTTTAGTAATTATAAAGCTTATTATTAAGTCTAGTAGTTATTTAGTGTATACTAAAAGAGTAATATAAAGAAAAAAGTATACCTATATCTCTTATTAATACTATATAAAGGTTTATTAAGACTTTTTTACTTACTTAATAGTATTATAAGTATAGTAAATATAACTTTACTAGCTTTAACTAAAGGTATAAATTACTATATATTACTAATAAAGTTAATAAAGTTAATAATATTAATAAGCTTTCTTTTATAAATACTATAACTAATAAGGTAATAGGTAACCTTAAGAGAGAGAGATTTAGTTAGTTAAATTAAATCTAGTAGTTATAACTATACTAACCTCTATATAGTAAATACTCTCTTTATATCTTTACCTCTATAATTAGACTATTTATTATTACCTATTATTTATATAAGTTAACGCCTTCTTAACTTTATAATATATAATAAGCTTAATAGTAATAACTTTAGTCTTAATAAGTTATATAGTAATAAAGCTAGTAACTTAATATAAGTAGTTAATAATAAGTTATTAATAGATTTATATAAAGGTAGTAAAAGGTAATATAATAAGGCTAGTAGTAAAAGTAAATAAGTAGTTACTATAGTTAGATTTCTTTACTATCTATTAATAGTTATTTTTTTTTATTACTACTTTAATAATAGTACTTTCTTTACTAGTTATAGTAGTAACTTTAACCTTACTACTATTATTAAATTCTTCTTTATTAATTAATATATTATTAAATAACCCTTGTGTACTATTAAAGTTAATAAATAAGTAATAAAAATACCCTTTTATTTACTTTATCTTCTAACTAACCTCTACTATATAGTTATAAAGTAGCTCTTTAAATTCTTATAAATCCTTTTTATCTTTATTTTATACTAGGTACTACTTATAAAGAAGCTTTTTAAGGTTACTAAATACCTTCTTAATAAGGTTAAAGTTAAGTAAGTATAGTAGTAAATATAATAGTTATACACTAGCTAAATTATATACCTCTTAAATATTTTATTAGTAATAAAAGCTAGTGTTATCTATAATAATAACTAACTTTACTATAAAAAAAGTACTACACTTAGGTAAAACTTTCTTTTTTATTTACACTATAAACCTATTACTATTTATTAAGCCTAGGTATATTAATATATTAAATATACTATCTATAGTAAAAGTAAAAAGTATTTAGTATTACTACTTATATTTAAGCTTATCCTTTTAATAAAGTACTAGACCTTTTAGTGCTTAGCTTATTCTCTATACACCTATATATTTATTAACACTTAACTTATTAATAAATACTAATTACTCTAGGTAGTACTTATAAATAGTATATATTTAGCTATACTATAATACCTTATCCTTTTAAGTAGTAATAATATAAATTAACTTTAAAGTCTAACTAGCCTTATAAAGTTACTAACTAATCCTTAACTTATATACTTCTATATTAAATTATTTATAAAAGAAATCTTATATTTTTTTAAGAGTAAAGTTATTATAGTAAATAAAGAGCTTTAATAACTTATATAGTTACTATACTTTTAACTTTATATAGCTTTACTAACTAAAAGAATAAACTACTATATAGCTAGTTACTTTATAATAATAATACTATTACTAGACTATATAAGTACTATAACTTATTTATATAGTAATTTCTTTATTAGTTTTCTTAAATAATTTTAGTATTTATACTATCTTCTTTTACTTATCCTTATTTAACTTTAGTACTATTATATTTATTTAAGGGTATATTTATTTAATAATAATAGTAAAGAATAATAAAAGAGAGGTTATTATAAACTTTATAGACTTTACTCCTTTATATAAATATATAGTTAGTGTCTAAGACTACTCTTATAGCTTTAGTAACTTAGTTACCTAGTAGGCTAGCTATTATATATAAAAAAAAGGTTATTACTAATAAGTAGCCTTTATATAGGTCTAAATACCTTTATTATTATTATTATTATATGTCTTTAAATTATAACTATTAAATGTTACTAAAATATAGATTTTGTATTTTGCTGCCTAAAAAACCTAAATTTGTATAGGTGCTATATTTATGTAGTGTAAGCGTATAGACTAAAAAATAGGTTTTAGACGTTGCTAATGCAATGGACTATAACTAGCTACTTTTAGCTAGCTAGACTTTGAGATATAACTACGTTTTGTTAATACATTAACCTATCTATAGTCTTTCTTGTATTACTTACCTTTTAACTATAACATCTAGGACAAGGAAAACTATAAAGTTATTAGTTTAGAGAGTTATAGATGCTTTATTAATAATAACTAAACTTATATTGTGGTTTTTATGAATCTAAGTAGCTACTTAATGGTTTCTTCTTAATCTAGTATAACCAGTTTACATACTAATTTAGAACAGATACATTCTGCTCATCTCCTTTATAACATTAACATTGTTTCCTCGGACTTTCTTCGTCAAGTCACCTCCGTACGCTATGAGTAATGTTACGGCTTCAACATAACCTATCTGTATAGCAATGTGAAGCGGCGTCCAACCCAGCGCGTTTTCTGCATTAGCATCGGCACGACAACTTAGCAGACATGCCACGACATCCGTCTTCCGGCTTACCACAGCAACATGTAGCGCTGTATTCCCACCACTATCACGCTCATCAACAACTAGTTCCCCACTAGCGAGCAGGGTACTAATTATAGTATCATGGCCGGCGGCAGCCGCAATGTGAATGGCAGTCCGGAAGGCCTCTGGCCCGTCTTCCCTGGATTTCTGGTTGCAATTTTCCTCTATCTTGCTATCGCCCTTTTCCGACGTAGTCTCGCCGAGATACGTTATAGACGTAGGCGTTGGAGCCTGGGTCCCATGGCACGTGCCAGAGGAAGGAGGCGGCTGTTGAGCGCTCATGTCATTGAAAGAAAAGGACTTCTTCCCCGCTTGGCTCCATTCCAAGCTTATGAGCGGTGAGAAGCGAGCGGCATTACTGAATTGCTGTAACTCGTCAGACAGTTCGGTTTCCTGAGAGCCATTGTAAACAACTGCTCTACTTGCTGAAGGGACCCGACATTTGAGCCTACTGACATGGTATTCAGTGTCATGAAATATGCTTTTTTCAAAATCAAAAGGGTTACACAACCCTTGCGACTCATCATCAGTGTAATTAGGTGACAGGGGAACCTCAAGATCTCTTGTGCTGGCAACAGATCTGTCAGCATTGTCCAGCTCTCTACTTAATGATCATAGATATTACAATCCGAAAAAGCCTTACTTTAACGCAGTCTCGGTTGAAGATACCAGTTGGCTTTGGGAATCCCTCAACGTTGATAGATTTGAATCAAGGTAGTTTTGCAGCGGGGTGAACATCTGGTGGCCTTCATCTTCAAAGCTTTCTCGTCTGCAGGAACTCCTGATCGATAGACAGTTGGACTCTTTCTCGGCCTGTCGCGCTAGGACTTCGTGCTGAATTTTCAGCTCTATGATACAAAATCATCTTAGTCACTAGTGTACAACTGATATCGAGGAGATAACCTTACTGTTTCGCGCCGAATGTTTGCCTTGTGCGGTTACTGTATGAGCAGACAATCCAGCAACTGCTGATGGGAGGACTTACTGCGATACCTGCGTTGTGCTTCTCTGTTCTGGATTCTTCGACGCTCGGCGGCGTCCATGGATAACGATTGTGGGCGCGAGTTGGATACCATGGCTTGATTCGCGGCTGTTAATATAAACCGGCTGATAACATCTATTTCGCTTTTTGTAATGAGAAATGTGGAACTATAATTATATTGACTACAACTACACTTGAATACTATCGCACCACGGTGCCCCAGTTACCCAACATGCTAAGAAACTAGCACTTCAACCACTCAGCGGAGTGTGTTTCGCTGAAGTTTAGACAGTTAACCTGAACTCAAACCGGCAGTTTCACCACAAGTACTAAACTTTATGTGAGTGGGACGTCTTAGTGCTGCAGTATAAAAGCTAAAACCCCGAGGTTAACATACACTGTACAGAATCAAGCCGCTCAGATGGGGTACAATTGACGATTGATTGAAGTTGATCTCGATAATTGATGTTTGATTGATGTGTTGATGTTGATGTTGATGTTGCAAAGCACAGTAGAAAATGTGCCCACCCAAAGACACCGGATGTAGACGATCCACGGTGACACTGGATATAGACGATCAACAGGCTTTTCGAATTGAATCAAAACGGACTAATTAATGAATGAGATGATCTCGATCTCGGCGAGGGAGCCAGAATCATAGGCCGCTCAGCTCGGGCAACAAATTGAGATCAAAAGCGAGGACGTATTTCTGAAACTAAACTAGCAAAATTGGCAGTGGCCGATTTCTGATTTTCAAGGCGGGTGTATGTGCATGGTGTTTTTGATCAGAGTTTCCCCATCTGGGCGATTATGTTCACCACCACCACATGTAGATCTGACGTTCTGAGCTCAATCGACAGGTTCTTCTATATATATATAAAAAAAGAGAACTGAATGAGTCAGCAACTGGCCATATTTGGGTGTGGGGGCCTAGTCAACGTTCATAAAGACCATGTTCGTTATAAAGCTGTGGGCAACATGTGGCCTTGGATGTTGGATGCATGCGCCATGGGATTTTACAGTTTTGGGTGGTTCCCAGATATGTGACATACATGCATAGCAAGTCGCGCATCACAGCGAGTCGCTTACTTCCTTATTACATTAAGAACACCCCTTTTTTAACTATTTATTAAAAGACAAGTATATGACTAAAAAAGGTAGAGCTATTATTATTATATAAGAATAAGAGTTAGATTTAAAAAGAATACTATAGAAAGTCTTGTTCTACCTTAACCTTGGTTTTGTCTTATTATTCCTACTAATAAGGGTTAGGGTTAAATAAAGATTTCTTAAGTATTTTTCCTCCCTTTTTAACCCTTATTAGCATCTATACAAAACGTTATATCTATTTTGGATAAGATTTAGATTCCTTAAGCATAGTTAAAAAGGTACTCTTTGAGGTATAATAAGGAAGTACGCGACTCGCTATAATGCGCGACTCGCTATAATGCGCGACTCGCTATGATGCGCGACTCGCTATGCATGTACGTTATCGGTATAGATTTTACCCATTGTCGGTCCAATGGATTGTTAGGTCTGTGTCAGTTGCAGGCGCATCATCAACAACCATCCAAGAGGTAGAGAAACGTTACTGTGACTTGTTAGACTATGACGTTACTTTATACTTTAACTATATTCTATCATAGGCTTAGGGAGACAACGGGACAGGAGACCTGTCTTACTATTAGCTTAGCGCAAGATAAGGGTTTAAGTCTATTTGAGTAGTTGTACTTGTTGTCAAACTATTGAGTTGAAAGTTACATTCAACCTAATTTTCCAGTCTCTCGCTCTTTCTGGTAGCTGGTCTACGTAAGTCAATGACTCTCTTTGTAGCTCAACTATCTTGGAGAACTATTCCCTTGCGATTCGGGACAGAGCTGCCGACCAACTCAGCCGGGGCCCAAAATTACTTTATCCTACAACCTAAGAGCCGAGCCATGACTCGACTTCATGACAAGTATGCTGTGACAATCATGATAATACCTCTGTTTCTTGGAAGAAACTCAATGCCTTGTCGATATGCTCTCCCAGCAACGGTGCGTAGCTCGGCGTCGGTATCTGCAGGTGGTCCGCGTTGATCGACATGCACATGAGACGTTGACTGCCCACAAACTTGTCCCAACCATTGGGGCCCAGGTCACCTCGCGTCTTGTGCGGCAATCCCCACATGACAGCGCCCAGGGCCGGGTCTTGCATGAATCCCGGGTACGCGGTGGTCGTTATCCGGCGTTGCTCCTGCAGCTTGTTGAAGCGGGCGCTGTGCGTGCAGCGATCGATCATGCCCTTCTCCGCCCAGATGAGCACCGTTCGCCACGCGGGCGGCTCCTCCGACTTGTCCAGCAGCGGCGGGTTATAGGCTGCGACGGAGGCAAACAGGGCCTGCAAGTGCAGGCGGGTGTTATCGGTGCCCTGCCAGACGCCGCTGTCGTCCTGGCCCGAGATGGCTTCGAACATGGCCAAGCCGATCTCGCCGTCGTCGGGCACGTGGGAAAGGCGGGGAGCACACATGTCGATGAGCAAGAGGCCGCCGACGCTGTGGCCCGCGCTGGACAGCTGACGACAGACCTCGTACGCCATCAGCGCCCCGCCGGAGAATCCTCCGATCCAGAAAGGCGTGCCCTCGCGCTGCTTCTTGATCAACGCCTCGACAATAAGCTTCGCCGCGCCTGGGATGCCCACTTCGGGAGTCAATCGGGCTGGGCAGTGCAGATACGGCGAGTCGATACCGTACATGGCCACTCCCGTTTTGATATTCACCGGAAGGTGAAGGTAGGTGGCGATGGTGCCGGTGCCGTCAGCAATCATGTACAAGGGCGGCAGAGGCTCTGTCTTGTCTGAGCTCCTGGAACGAGCTGCTCCTTTGAGAAGTGTGATTTTGACGCCGGGCTCCGGGGTCGAGTCGTGAGTTTTTTCGGGGGACACCCGAGCTTTTGGGGCTAGCTCCAGCTCCTTTCCCACCCCGATTTCGACTGTCGACGCGGTCGGCGTTCCACTTGAAGTCTTTTCTGTTGTTTCGTCGACGTCGGAGAAGCTGGATGACGATCCCCCGGAAGGGGTGTGGTCGACCCAAATAATACTCTTTCCAGACTGCTCCGACTGTGAGCTGCTCGAGGGCGTTGTTGCGGGCTGCGGGATGTCAAATTCGCTCCGCAGACCACCGATGGTAACATGCTTAGCCAATGACGACGGCGAGAGCTCATAGCCAGAGGCTTCGGTGACCTTGGATGCGATTTCAATAGACATTATGGAGTCGATGCCAATGTCGGTCAGGGCCGTATCGTCAGTCAGCTCAGCAAGCGTAAGCTTCGTCTCGGCGACGATGGTCTGCATGATGGCATCGAACACTCCCGCGTTATCGAACGACTGGTTCTCCTCTTGCAGCTCGATACCGTGACTCGACGACGTCTCTATCGCCGTCGCCCTTTCCTCCTCCTTCCCCTTGGCTGCAGCCGCTGGTCGCTTCACGTTTGGATTGCTTACGGCGGCAAGCCGCGGAGCATTCGCCACGCCCCCGAGAGCCTTTTGCAGCGCCTCGCGGCCAATGATGTGAAAGTTAAGACCCAAGCATTGCGCAACGAGCCTGCCACTCGATTCAAACACGTAAACATCGCAAACCTTGTTCCCCTTGTCCTCCCGTCTGACACGGACGTAGTTCCAGTACGTCTCGCCGGCCTTGAAGGGCACAGTCTGCTCGAAGCTGACGAAGCCGCTGTTGATGAAGCACGAGTCGGCGGCCATCACTAGGTTCTTCGGGTTTGCGTTTACGGCGAAGCCGGCAAGGTTGGTGACGCTCTCGCCCCAGTACGGCGACGCCAAGAAACGGCTGTTTGTAGGGTGGTCCCGGAGCACGATCTCTGCTGCAGCCTCTGAGAAGTCGTCTGAGACAAACGCTTCCTTGACAGTCTTGAACTCGGAGCTGTACTGGACGGTCTGCGCAAAAAGGGCGTAGTAGATGTCGGGCTGGAACCTGTGGCCGCGACCTTGTCGGGCGGACTGAACGATTTCATCCATCCTGGCCTTGATGAAATATGAAGTTGAATCCCAAGAAGCCTGCAGACCCTCGGGATCGGGGCAGACGGCCAGCGTGCAGCTCCCGAGCTCGTACATGGGACCTCTATGCGCCGGGGACGCTTTCCACGAGACGCGGATGTCTCTGCTCGTCTTATCCAGCGTCACCGTCGTGAGCAGCTCGCCGTCGGTGCCGACGAGCTTTTTGGTCAGCGGGAGTTTCAGTTGGGGGTTGCGCAGAGACAACTTGGCGACGCTGGCGTCCGAACTTCTGCCGGCGCCTTTGAGCGCGTACGCGGCCGCCGCCAAGCCAGACTCGCAGAACGCGCTCCCGGGGAGGATTGGCAGACTTTGCATCTGGTGGCCGTCGATGATGGCGCTGAGGCCCGGGTCTGCGAGGGAAGCGCCCAGCGTCACCGAGACCGTTCCCGAAGACGACGATTCTCGGACGACGTACTGCGCAAGCGTTGAGATAGTCTGCGCACGCTTGGCGGTGTCCATACCTCTGCGTGCTCCCGGCGCCTCTCGGGCGCCGTCCGCGGCCGCGGAAAACGTGACCCAGTAGTCCTTTGTGTCCCAGGCGTACGTGGGCACCTTCAGCAGCGCGAGGTGTCCCTCGTAAGGCCGGTGGAGCGCGAGCCAGTCAACGGGGACACCCACTAGATATGCTGCCGCCATGCACCTGGAGACGGAAGTCCAATTGGTGCAGTCCTCGCGTGCGTTACTATCCAACGACGACACGACCATGTTCGCCAGCGGGTCGAGCGTCGTCTTGATAAAGGACGCGCAAGTCTGGCCGGGGCCGAGCTCCATCCAGAACGGGTCCGTGAGCTTTTCCTTTACGGCGTTCAGGCCCCCGACAAAGTTGACTGGCTTGCGGGTATGGCCAGCGAGATAATGGGCGTTGAAGGTGCCCTCGGTGTCGATGATGGACTCGAGCAGCGTAGACGCCACGGGGATTCTCGGTGCCAGAAACGTGACGCCCTCGGCGATGATCTTGTAGTCGGCCAGGATGGGGTCCATCTGGAAGGAATGAAAGCCGTAGGGCACTCGGAGAAGGGTGCACCGAGCCGACGCCGCCAAATCTGCATGCAGCTTCAGGATGTCGTCTCTGCTGCCGCTGATGACGGTTGCCGACGTGCTGTTGACACATGATATACCGCACGTCGAATACTGCGGGTGCGAGGCCAAGAAGCCCCTGACCTCGGCAGCGGGCATAGCCACGGAAAGCATGGCAAACGCGTCGGGATCGCATCGTTCGAGGACGAGGGCAGCCCTCTGGCCGACAAGGTAGATGGTGTCCGCCAGCGAGAGGACGCCAGCGACATGCATAGCAGAATACTCGCCCAGGGAATGTCCCATGACCGTCGCTGGTTGCACCCCGACCGACTTCCAAAACGCGGCGAGGCCAATCTCCAGGGCCACCACGGCTAAGTTGGTCTGGACGATCGTCTTGGAAGCCATGTCCACCTCGCCATCGGCGATGATATCGACAAACGGTGGCAGGTTGTGCTGCTCTCCCGTCCTCGCGCAGAGATCGACAGATTCACGGAACGCGGGACTCGTCCGGTACAGCTCGCGACCCATCCCGGCATAGTGAGAGCCCTGGCCAGTGAAAACGAAGACGATGGGCGGGGCCAGAGACGGAACGACCGCCGACGAAGAATACTGGCTCGCAATGTCGCGCTCGAGCTTGGAGGTGATGTCTTTGGTGGTTGACGCCGTACAGGCGAACCGGTGCGAATGGTGCATCCTCCTGGCAGTGGTTGTGTAGGCCACGCTGTCGACTTTGGCCTCCGGGTTGGCACGCAACCAGGCGACCAGCCGGCGCTTGTTTTCCAGCAGAGCCGCGGGGGTTCGGGCAGAGAGGGCGACGACGTGGCAGGATCGCGGGTCTCGGGCCACGCATGACGACGGCTTGGCTTCAGCGGTAGACTTGCCCATGTACTCTTCAAGCAGCATGCAGGCGTTGCCCCCCGCAGCGTCAAAGTTGTTAAGCAAGATGCGCCTCGGCACGTCAGCCCGGCGCCTCCCGAACTCCTTGGGCTCCGAGGGTATCTCAATGTTCAACTCCGAGAGCGCCGGGAACTTTGGATTCAGGGCGTGCGGGAAGCCCTGCTGGGGAGGAACCGTATTCGTCTCGAACATCTTGATGCATTTCATCAGCGAAGCCATGCCGGCAGCACCTTCGCCGTGGCCCAAGTTGGCCTTCACACTCCCCACGGGGATCGGCCCGCGGTTCCGGGCCGTGTGCTTGAGGAGGCTGCCCACAGCGCTCAGCTCGACCGGGTCGCCGACCGGGGTGCCCGTCCCGTGCATTTCCACGTACGAGATGTCGTCGGCAGAGACACCGGCGTTGCGGAGTACGGTGCGGAACAGGCGCCGCTGGGTTCTCTCGTCCGGGGTCGTAATGGACGGCGCATTACCCGAGTGATTCCGCCCAGATGCCGCAATCACGGCGAGGATCTCGTCGTTGTCAGCCTCGGCGTCCTCGAGGCGCTTCAGCACAACGCATCCGACAAAATCGCCACGGCAGTACCCGTCAGCGTCGTCGCGGAACGGCTTGCAGTTACCCGTGTTCGAGAGGACTCCGGATTTGCTTAAAGCCGCAAACGAGTGCGGGTAGTTGAGGATGTTGCTGGCGCCGGCGACGGCCATGTCGATATCTCCCGCCCGGAGGCTCATGCAGGCGAGGTGGATGGCGGACGTCGTAGATGCGCAGGCCGAGTCGAGGGCGTACGTGGGACCCTCCCAGTTGAACTGCCAGGCGACGCGGCCCGGCCCAAACGCTCGCTGGACGCCGGGCAGCGTGTAGGCGTCGCAGCCGAGGGTCGGGTGCGACTGGTCGTGCCAGTCGTCGGTGACCTGGCCGTAGAAAGTGCCGATCCGGGTAGGGTCCGTCGCCTTGGTCCTCCCGTCCGAGTAGCCGGCCATCTCGAGGGCCTCATAGGTGCTCATCAGGAACTGCCGGTGGCTCGGATCCATGAGCATCGCCTCGCGGGGTGAGATGCGGAAGAACCGGGAGTCGAACCGGCCAGGATTGCGCATGAAACATCCGTATTTGGTCGTCATGGTGCACCCCCCCTCGTCTCCGTGATTGTGGTAGCCGTCCGCGCAGTAGAACTCGTCCAGGTCAAACCGGTCTGGAGGCACCTCGGTGCAAGTGTCGGTCTTGGTCATGATGACTTGCCAGAACTCGTCAATGTTGTCGCACATTGGACCCCGTCCCGACACGCCCACAATAGCGACCCGACCAGCGGGGGCGGATAATTGCTGCTCTGGCCTGGCCCTGGACAGGGTGTTGGCGGTTTCTACCAACACCTCTCTACCTGTCTTCTCCAGAGCGGCCACCAGGTACGGAGTGTGACTTGTAGCTCCCATCTCGATGACCCTGACCGAGTCGAGGGCGCCAAGAGCAGAAGCGTTCATCCGGGCAACGGCTTTGGGAATGTCGAGACCGCGGGACAAAACCTGCGAGCAGACGGCCCTGAGCATGTCTCCCCAGCTCGCATATGTGGCGCCGGGCTCGTCCATGCCCCATAGCTGAGAGCACGTGGCCCGTATCGACTTGTTCAGGAGCTGTCCGTTGTCTCCGACAATGAAGTCGATGTCCTCCTTGGTGAGGTCGATGGTGTGTTGGAGCGCGCGGATCTTGAGCGGATTCTTCGACGCCTGCTTCAAGGCGCGGCAGTCCCTCATGATCTGTTGTAGAACTGACGGCGGCCCGATGACGGTGCTCCAACCCGCCCCGGTCACACCGGGCTTCGCTCTTTTCAGGGGAGGAATACCGACGCTTTGCTGGAACTGCTCCAACGTCTCGCTGAGCTCGTCCAGGGAGAGGCCGAGGACGGCCCAGCCCCAGATGCCCGACTGGTCCTCTATCGACCTGGACTTCACCGAAGTGAACTTGCACAGCCTCACCAGGAGCCGGGCTATCTCGAGCAGCGCCGCGCAGAGCGCTTCAAAGTCGTCCGACGCAGCCAATGCTGACATGGTAAACAGGCCGCCAGAAATGCCGAGCAATTGCGTATCACTGCCATTGCAGAGTATGCTCGCGTCTCGCCTCACCCATCTCAGGAGGCTACTGGCTCGGGCAGTGTGAAGCAGCAGGCAGTGTGCCATGCCTAATTCATCTGTCGTGTGCCGATACCGTTCGCCAAGCTCTTGCAAGCTTGAAAATGTACCCAGGCTCTCCTGCAACACCGGATCGAGCCTCGCGGCCCTCGTCTCTTCCTTGACCGCCATCGTCAGGTCGCATAAGAATGTCTTCAACCATGGGGCCGAGTTGGCCACCGCGTACGCCTGATCGACATCTTCGACCCATGAGTCTGTCTGGTCTCCGAATAGGAGGACCGACTTGGTTCGCTTATCAGCCCAAGTAGTCATGTTGGGCTTGAAATATCTCTAATTTATGACGGTGCACAGCAAAATGTGCAGTGAGATGGTTGATTTTTGGAACACGCACAAGTGTTAGCGACAGAGCAGGTGCATGTCACAAGAGAATCCTAATAGATGCCACGATAATTGATAAGGTTGTAAATAGGAAGAGTTCTAGTTTAAAGGCTGGGATTCACCGAGCTTTATTAGTCTACTCACGCGCGTAATTGTGTAGTAAGCTGACTTCTTGAACTTCTACAGTGGTGTTACCATATAATCATAGACAAGTAATACCAGGCTCATCCTCAATATCATGATTCTAGATTGTACAGAGTGTACAGTGGAGTCGTGTCTAGTATCTTCTGAGTCACATTAATTAAAGTTGGCCTCCGATTATTGTTGTTCCTAATGCGATAGTTGTCCGGCTATACATGCATAACCCTAGTTTGACACAGCATAGACCAGTAAGTGTCATTCTCACCAAACTCCTTTCGTCCCCTTTCCTATAGCCGTGTAGAACAATCCTTAATCACAAGTTAACTACTTGCAACTCTTAGCCGGCCGCATTCCAGTATACTACCGATGCCTTTTGATGCTTGCCCCCCACCCCCGGATAACCCTAATCAGGACGGAGGATATATTTGCTTTGTAGCTGCAGGCTCGTACTCTGCATAAGGCAATATTATAAGGGTAAGCAAGTCGCCCCCTCCCATAAGCTAGTAGCTCGTTAAATGACTTGACATGGAGTAAGCTTTGACTCTTTAACTGATAAGCAGCACGTGCAATAGTTGGTCTACTGCAATGGTAGAAACTTTCAAATAAAGTTATCATGCTGTCCCTAATACCAATGGGAACATGGATAATATAGTTGTAAGGTGTAAGGCTTATGCAATAGAGAGTTATGCTCTGAAACAGAGCTAATCGTAACCTGCTTACTCGGTCGTTCGTTATCTATCTTTGTATAATCTTCAGTAATCAGATCATTTCGAGTGGGCCATCTAAAACTTTGACATCCCTCTGACTCAATTATATGCTTTCTCATTTCATATAATTGCTTTGCTGAAGCCAATTTATAATTTCCGACTCAGGATTGACTACTTTTTAGTTATCCTACACTGTATTGCATATTCCATTCTTATAACACTTGTCATCTCGAACACAATGACGGTTCCCGAGTCTTGCACTGTCCTGGTTGCTGGAGGCGGACCTGGTGGCTCCTATGCCGCTGCAGCCCTGGCGAGGGAGGGCGTTGATGTTGTTCTGCTTGAGGCGGACAGACACCCCCGGTATGTCACATCTTTTCCCGCTCATGCTGAGATGAAGATCGCTATCATGCTAACTAGAGGCTGAAAGCTACCATATTGGCGAAAGCATGCTTCCTTCCATTAGGCCGTTGCTGCGGCTGATAGATTTGGATGAAACCTTTGATAAACACGGGTTTCAAAAAAAGGTGAGACCATGGATCGAGATGACGAGCGAAACACACGTACAAAGACGATTGTTTCCTAATCAAAGTAACAGCTCGGAGCAGCTTTCAAGCTCACCGCCAAGCGCGAAGGATGTAAGCCAGAGAAATACGACTCGACGAAGCTTTACAAGCAGCTTGATACTGATAACGTTTTTGCAGATACTGATTTTGTAGCTGATCATGGCCCCAAAGGCCATTCCTGGAATGTTATCAGATCCGAAATGGATGAGCTCATGTTCAATCACGCAGAAAAATGCGGTGCAAAAGCTGTTCATGGCATCAAGGTTGATTCTTTGGATTTCGAGGTCACCGGGGCATCAGAGTTTCCGGAAGGCGAAAAGGTGGCAAACCCGGGCCGTCCCGTTTCTGCAAAGTGGTCGGCCAAAGATGGGACCTCTGGAGTTATCAAGTTCAAATACCTAGTAGACGCTACCGGTCGCGCTGGTCTGGTTTCGACAAAGTACCTCAAGAACCGCAAATTCAACGCCGGCTTGAAGAACCTGGCAATCTGGGGTTACTACAAGGGTTGGAAGCCTTGGGCTGAGGGCACTCCGAGAGAGAACCAGCCTCTATTTGAGGGCATGCAAGGTGTGTTTGCTCCCCGTCATGTGTGACCAAACCCTGTGCTGACAGGCGTTTAACAGACGGCTCCGGCTGGGTGTGGACTATTCCTCTGCACAATGGTACCATTTCGGTAGGCGCCGTCACGCGTAAGGATCTCTTTGAGGAGAAAAAGAAGAGCCTTGGCGAGGGCGTCACTAGCGCGCAGATCATGGAGCAGTGCATCCAGCTCTGCCCCACGGTGCAGGGTATTCTAAGCTCCGCCGAGCTCGTCACCGATATCAAACAAGCCACTGATTACTCGTACTCGGCTTCTGCTTACGCCGGACCCAACTTCCGCCTTGTAGGCGATGCCGGGTGCTTCATTGACCCTTTCTTTTCATCTGGCACCCACCTGGCGATGACGGGAGCGCTTTCGGCGGCCGTGTCCATCATGGCGTCGCTCAAAGGTGATTGTAGCGAGTACGATGCTGCTAAGTTCCACGCGAAGAAGGTGAATGAGGGTTATAGTCTCTTCTTGCTCGTAGTCCTGGCTGCTCTGAAGCAGATTCGGATGCAAGAGAAGCCGGTCTTGAGCGACATTGATGAGGATGGGTTTGATCAAGCCTTCCAGTTCCTCAAGCCCAGTATGTTCCAGGATCGCCTTTTGTTTTATTCCTAAGCCATGTGTGTAGAGGTGTGTGCGCCGGGCTAACAGTCAATTATAGTCATTCAAGGTTCCGGCTCCTCCCATATCACCAAGCCCTTCAGTCACGCAGACATCACTCGGACCATAGACTTTGCTGTGCAGGCACTTGATGCGTTCCCTACTCCCGAAAATCTAGAAGCTTCCCAATCCAACGGCAATGCCAAGCCTGAGCCAGAACTCGTGACGACTCCTGACCAGGGTGTCTTGACTGGATTCAAGATTCTCGAGCAGGCGGCACCGAACGCTGATATGAGCAGGTTTGGGGGCACGGCTATCGATGGTCTGCTGCCCCGCCTGGAGCATGGTAGACTGGGCCTTATTAAGGTTTAAATAATTAGATTATAAGCGTGTAGTAGAATAGATTCTATACCGGCATTCAGCCGTATAAAATGTGATAAGCGAGCCGCTACAAGTTGCGGGCTGCAAGTTTTAGTTCGGCTTCGCAGGCTGCTACAATGACACACATAACCCAGTTCAGTAGTTCAAGGAGGTTTAGCCGCTTATATCAGAGATGTCAGTGACTACATAGAGGTCGTCCGAGCGGGGATAATATAAGTCTCACCACATGTGGCTGCTAGGAAGCTGTTACAACTAGTAGGCACTATAATCAGCTTTTCGTTGGTTGTTTAATGTACGGGCTCGCTACTGCCTATCACTCTCCCTTGATCACCATTATACTGTTTCCCTCTCAATATCCTCAGTCAACCAAGCCTTCCTTCACGCACCAGCCCTTGCAATGCCTCTGTTGTCATGCAATTTTAAGACCTGTACAAACCTGGCTGTAAAGCGAGTCAGGGGGACTGTTTATACTGCAACAGACATCTCTGTTGCACGCATCTTTCAGAACCGTTCTACAAATGCCTAAATAACCTACTCTTCCAAGAATGCACCTCTGCAATCTTTGCACATATTAATCGTCCTGGGTCCCTGCCTTCTTCTCTTACCGGCCCAGAAGTATTGCTTTCAGTTGTCAGTATCCGTATTTGACATGGAGTCTCCGCCAAACACAAGGGTTTATGGCAAATAAATGGTGGCGGCAATCTAGATGTGGTTGGTTGTGGCGGTTGTGGCGGTTGTGGCGGTGGCGGGTTACAGTCGCAATACGGAACAAAAGTCACAGTCGCAAGAACTGCACTCGGTTGACGGGGCACTGGGGCTGGGAACCAGAGTAGGAGGTGATATGGGTGTTTGCTTGTTTGTTTCTGCATGGTTTGTTGGTTGGTACACTACTATGTAGTACATGTTTGCTGTCTTTGAAATTGCTGATTGCTGAGGGTGTGGCTGGTAATTGATAAACCGGACTTGACAAGTCACAAATAACCAACCTGTTAATATAAGTGGCCTGTTAGTCCGGCCCAAGCTAACCAAAATACCTAGCTAGAATTGAAACCAACAATTGCCTGCTTTGGTGACTTGCTGCAGCTGAAAGTTGGACGCGTCGACTGCTTAATGTCTGTCCCGTGTCCAGCATGTAGGATGATTGGCCACCGCCGACATCCCAGCTGGAAACCAACAAACTCATTCCCATCTTGTTATTGTCTCGGCCCCTTTTTGGCGTTCAGCAGGCTGGCTCATGTTCTCCAGTATAATTATTCATCGGGGGACGGCAGCTCTTGAACCACCGTTCAGGCTATGTCGCTCGAATCAATCCCCTCTTCTTCAGCCTTTCAAAAGGCGATGGATAACAGTCCCGAATCCGTCTTTGCAGCCTCGAAGCGCCTCTCCGAACCCGTTCCTCTCGACAAAATGCCCGAATGCCCCGTCTGCGCTCTCAAAGCGCGCATGTCCCACCCCGACCGCAACCCGGCATGCGGCCATCAAGACTACCCCACCGACCGCCTCATCAACCTGATCCTCAAGTACATTCCCCCGGGGCCGCGCCCGGTGTGGAACAAGGCCGAGGAACTCGCCATTTGCCGCGTTGTCTCGGCCTGGTGCGGCAGGTCTGACAGCCGGCGGTTTACGACATTGAGGCTCTGCGGCCAATGCCACGGGAATCACATTGGCCATCCTTTCCGCGACGGCTGGCTGCTCAACTCGGCGCTGCCAAGCGTGGAAGCCCCCAGATTTGTTGTTCGTTTTTATTTTGACCGAAGGGCAGGGAGCGTTTGGCAGACTCGTCTTGTGAAGTGGAAGAAGTAAATGGGTTGACGTGGTGGTGTATCTTGTATTATTCACTATTATGCTGACCCTGCTGTACACCTTCGGCACTGCTGGCAACTAGGAGCCCGCGCTTTTGCCCGGGCCTCCCGGGCCTGTTGGCAGCAACACAATGAGGGCATCCCCCTGCGGTAACCCTTATCACACGGCACTGCTGAACTGACAGTGTACTGATGTGTGAGAGTTCGACTTCGGTATACACACATGTTGAATTAAAGTCAATAGACAAGATAAATTGCAGGCTTCAGAAGCCAAGGCAAAGAAGAGTGATATACGCCTGCAAAGAGACCCGTTCTGCAAAAGACACTTTCAGAGCTGATAGAAATTCCAAGTGGCTCAGAGTCGGTTGAACCGACATCGTCGGCAAGCACGGATGCGGCATTGAGCGCATTCGTAGATATAAACAGACAACCTATCGTGGCACTCTTCACATCGATAAGAGCCGCTGCGGCTTCTCCATGTACCGTGCAAACACTGATGGTTGGTAACCAGATTCTGTGCCTCTCTCTCAACCCTTCGAGCTCGATCCTCATGATCCAGAAGAAAGGCATTTGCGTCCCGGTTCACAATAACATTGGCACGGGCGTAGAGTCGTTCCTCGTTCCATTGATCGCAGGAGCACGTCTTCCATTGAAGGCCGCACACGTAGCAGAATTGCGTACCGCAGCGACAGGCTAGGTGGTATTGTTAGTTTAGTTTGTGTAGAAGGCTCTGCTGAGTGACGGGACTTACTCATATGGTTACACCCATGATCTAGCTCTACAATTGCTCGGCAAGAAAAGCATCTTTGCCAACCGTTTGCAGCGGCAACCTCCAGCAGATTTTGAGTCAAGGTATCTTGAACACAATCTTGATCCTTATGCTCAGCGCCCTTGCACATGGTGCAGGTACGCTGCCCGCATCCCTTGCATGATGCGACATCGGCTTTGATAAACTCTTTAGGTATAAATCTTGAACATGTCGGTATATGGCAATATGTCCGGTTAGGCGTCGAGAACTCGACCTCTTTGGCACGAAAATCCGTGGCTAATGTCGAGGGAAGAAACCGCCAGTAATCATTGATGGGTATAGACTTTCCGCAGCATTTTGGGGGGAAGAGTGACTCGTCCGTGAGCGATGTCGCGAAAAGCTCCCGCAGGCAGGTTTGACAGTATTGATGCCCGCATGGACAACGTGCCATATCGGCACAGATGAAAATGTCGAGGCAACTGATACATTGCCTTTTGATCAGCTTGTCCATCTTGATCTTTTCCGTCGCCTGAATCCTGGATGATGCCCATGTCGATGACTCGGCCTGGTCTGAAATATCCTCATATCCGTCTGCAGACACATAGATAGATTCGAGTCTGTTCAACAACTCCTCATCGATATCTGTAGGGGCATTTCCCTGAGCCGCATCCGGAGGATGATACCCATCGACCTGCTCCCCGCGGCTCAACCGAACGGCTACTTCTCTGTCCCGTGCGGCCTGTTTCTCCTGACCCCCTAAAATTGAAATAAGACGCCCATCAAGCCTGTTCGCCTTTGTAATGCTTTTGCACATGCATCTGTCCGAGGCGATGCGGACAAGAGACCTTAAGTCTGACTCGTACGTATCAACGGCAAGAGCTGCGTCGGTAATCTCATCTTGGCGATGTTTTCCTTTGCTTTTCTGCTTAATATTTTCCAGGTCCTCAATTTGTAGTTGGAGAATAAGACTGAGTGTTTCGTCGTCAACATCGTAGCATAGCATTGTCAAAGACTTGAGATAGTGTAAATTGATGAAAATAATTCTAGTTGTAGTACTGGTCCATCGCTTTATAGACTTGATTGGGTGTACATTTGGGGGAGGGCTGACACTGCTAAAGACACCCAATAGCTGTAGTGGAAAGGCAGACTCCACAGCAATAGTAGACTTTGACTTTCTTATCGAAGGGTTTATCCAAAACTGCACAGCCAAATTATGGCCTCCTGCATAATACCCTTTCTAAGACCGGCGGGGGCCTATGAAACATCCTAGTTCCTGGCAAAGTATGCTGACACAAAATATCTGACGATTTACTTTGCGACAAGATCTGTACTGATCAACTGATATAGGTGTTTTGATCTGGACCTATTGAATATCCAAGGAGATGCGTCGACAGAGACGCCGTGGCGGATCGCTTTGCGGAGAGCAGTTGTGTCCCGCGCCGTCGCCCAGAGGACGGACGGGCCCGTTGGCACGTCTCACTGGCAAAGGGTGCTCTTTAGGTGGGTGCGAAGGTTGCGAGGGCATCTTACGAGGTTGTAGAAAGCACTGGTTCGTAAAGGTTGCTCAAACTGCTCAACAATGAAGCACTAAGGCAACTCCTGGCCCTTCCGTGAGATTGAGCGAACTAGAGTGTTGGAAAGAGCGCGTCGGAGATAGTTTATGACGAAGGCTCGTCAAAAGAAATAGACAATAGGGTGTGAATAGGCAATACTCATTACGGCAAGGAGGAAATGACGTAGAGATGGCAGCGATAGGAGAGGAGGCAGAGATTGCAACAGTCGATGGGGATACAGGTAAGCGACGTGTGTTGTGACGTAGTTGCAGGCGAGTGATAGACTCGAAAGCGTACTTGGACCGACTAATTATCAAAAGCACCATCCAACCAGCCAGCTAGCCAGCAGAACAGCACCAAGCAGTAGGATAAGGCAGTATCTATTCTTACATTGTGAACTCCTCATCAATCTGCTAATCTAAGGCATCAGTAACATTTATTCAACCAGATAGGCAAGGATGCCCCAGATACCCATACTATCCGTCACCTTATTCGAAAGGTGCAAAAGGGGTATGATGAGCAGGTATCTAGACTGGCCCTTCTAGAAAGGCGATTCAACGCGTTACATGCCCATTTAGAAGACCAGCGGTCACGCAAGAGGAAAAAGGTCCCCCTATCGCCTAACATCACCTTTGCCACTATAGAGCATATCTAGCGAGCGCAAAATCTGGATGCCAGCCAAATGGACAGTCTGGATGAATCCAAAGCATCTGAATTATCCAGCGAGGTCGAAAGTTGCATATAGTTGGACGGCAAGCCCGAGGAAATAAGTGGTGATAGTTGTGGTGATGGTAATGATAATGGTTCATATGTGGGGCCAGTTCGTATTCAGGGTGAGGTACAATAATTTGACAGCATCCTGCGTCGAAATTCATGAGCTCCCTGTGTCATTTGTTGCAGAACTGCCCAAAAGCCTTTCTAAAGTAAAACCTTATATAGCCTTACTAATAGTTAGATCAGATACAAATAACTAAGGCATGTTTTACCTTAAGTAAGACCCTATTAGGACTTTAAAGTAAGGGAAGTATACACTATATAAGTTTATTTAGTGTACTACCCTTAAAGCCTAATTATACCTTACCTAGTAGTAACTACTTCTTTTAGTTCTAAACAGTCCCTCTTATAGTTTATAATATAACCTAGTGTATCTTGCATACTTATATAAACTCTAAACTAATTAATAAAGATATATTACTTACATTAGACCTAGCTAAACTAAGATATACAATTATTTAGTTATATGCCTCGGCCTAGTTTTTTACTAATAGGTTTCCATTATCTAGTCTATACTATATACATAATATATAATAATATTATAGCTCAATAGTAATAGTGTTTAAAGTATTTATAATAAAGCCTCTTTTAGTACCTAAAGCTACTTAATAATATATTAAAATTATCTATAAAACTCTCTACCTATCTATAGTACTAGGCTAATATTGTAGTAATATAGGTTATATATTTATTATAAATTTAGAGCTATAGATAAAGGAAGAATAAGAAACTCTAAAGTGCTATATCCTACTTAATACTAAATAGTGCTATAATTGTCTAGGGTAATTCTTGTAAGTTTATAACTTGCTTCAAAACTAATCACAAACCTAATTGCAAGCAGGGAGGTAGTATCAATAGGGTCATTACCAGCTAAGTGCTTCCATTAGACGTCCGATTAGCTTGCTCTCGCCACTCAGTCGCTCCAGCAGGACGCCAACAGGACGTTTCATGACGGGAAATCGCAACGATGAGAAATCTGTTATTGATTGCATGTGAATATTCAAAGTAAAGATATCTCTAGCTTGTTGATCAGGTCTACAGCCCAGCAATTTAATTCTTTCATACGCATAAAGCACTGGGCACCGTAGCCTTGTCAAGGGAGGCGTGGTTCAGATGATTGACTCCGCCATCTTCATTGAAACGGAAAACAACGCGCCGCCGGGATCTGCATTGGAGCAGCACATCCAAGGTCTTCGGAAAAGGTCCCGCACAGGAGCCGTCAACGCAACCGACTACGACTTCCTGTTGGACAACCCGATCACCCTGAGCATCGAGTCTAATAGAAGCGAAGGCTTTGAGGCGGCGACGTTGCAGATTGGAACCTGGCACGCGGCGCATTGAACGTTCCTCGACCGCGTTGTGCACGACTCGTCGGACCTCGACGCCCTCGGCTATCTGCCGGGGTTGATCGTCCAGGGAGCGGAATGGTACTTTGTGGCGTCCACGCGGCAAGACGATAAGACGGTAAGTGTAACGCTCTGCTCTCCTTGACCAGCTGCTGGGATGCTAATGCAAAAGGTAATGTCGATAGATCCTGTGGACGAGACAGTCAATCGGGTCCACGCAGTATCTTCTTGGAACTTATCGCGTTGTTCGTGCCCTGCAGTGCCTCGCTTGGTGGTCCGCTGAAGTTTATTGGCCGTGGTTTTGCGACCACGTGCTCGTGATGCCTTCGGTTGACGACGGTTGAAGAATGGGTGGGCATCTGCGCGAGTCGGAGAGCTTGTTCATGCATTCTGGCTGCGCTTTTCAAAACCTAGATCTCTCGGGCCGAAACCACGCCCATGGCCCAATGCAACGCCTGTTGTAGGGCAGCCTCTGCAGGCGAAGTCATGCTTGCTGATGGCGTCGTCTGGGTCTCTTTTTTCCAACACCTAGCATGGCTTCTTTGGCGGCATTGGATTCCGGTTTGCCCGCCTGGCTCACAATCAACATCGAGAGTTTCCCTCGCAGCAAGGCTGGCTGGCTGCCCATTGGCTGATGCTGTAGCTTTTGGGTATCTTCTCTCGTGCTGCGGTCTAATACGTGGCGCTTGAATCTGGGACAGCAAGCCCCACAACCTCGCGAGACACATTGTGAGGATAGGGCGCTAGCAACACGAGGGCGATACATTATATATTGTAAAGACTTGATTCCCCTCTTCAGTTAGTTGACGCAGAGGGTCGGAACAGGCCGCGGCGGAGCACCAGAAGGATCTGCATTATTCAGGTGCTTATAGAGCCATAGAGGAAGGTAATGGCGGTGAACGGCTGACGGCAGTCTCTGTATGATTCGGCCATGACAACATGACGGGTTGGTAGTTTTCAGGCGGGCCCTCGAAGCAATAGCCAGCGGCAGAGAAGCTTATGTCATTAGTTCACCGTGTAGCTTGACACAAATGCATGCGTGACCAACTCATTTCCTGCATGCTTGCCAGGGTAGCAACTGGGCCAGCCACACAGTATCTACATTTTGTATGTCATGATAGCCAAATCAACGTTTTGAAGCTCATCGAGATTATTCTTGAAGGACAAGTGAATGCATCATGGTCTCCAAGTACGCCGAGCGCAACCTGCTGCTACAGATCATGCACTGTAACACGCAAAACCCGCCCCACTAGATCCCGCCGCAGACGGCAAGAACACCATATCCCAGCTTCCCACAATTGAATCTTCTATAAGGACTACTTCATTTCTTAACTTGCTAGTCCTCTCACTTCACCTCTCACTTCACCTCTCACTTCACCTCTCACTTCACCTCTCACTTCACCTCTCACTTCTCTCCTTATCTTTCATCCCATTCTACATCCATCAACAATTCCATCTTCCATCTTCAAGTAAAGAAGCACACCCTTATAGGAAGAGCATCTTGCTTGGGAAATCAATGACAAGGTTAGCAGGTATAGATCTAACACCCCAGATATCTTCAAGAAGACAATGTCGGGAGAGGAGCCACTCGATAGCAAGAAAGTGTCTGCCAGGTTCGGCAAGTCCATGTACGTCGAGCCGCTTATGTACATGTCGGTCAAGAACCTCAATATGGTGAAGGAAATGATGTCGTCTGTGACAAACGTCATCTTGGAAAGCGGCTTGTCCGTCTATTTCTCTGCTCCATCAAACCCCTGAGCGTCATCGGCCTTGACTTTCCTTCGTTGAGCATGGCCGTGGTGATGAATGACCGAGACCATGATCGACTCCGGCTTTCTCCAGTCTCTCAGACCAGACCAGGGGACGAGTCACTCGTCGGCTCAAGCAGAAATACAATCGTTAAACCAAACGCCAAAGCAAATTCCAGTACCCCACGTCATCACTTAGTAGGCCTTTATGTTGACACGCCCGGCTACCTGGCGCCAGACAACGGGCAGACGTCAAACGGCACTTCCTCTCTCTCCCCCTCCCAGCCTCCCAGATCTCGACTTCAGCCCCCGAGTTCGTTTTCTATAGACCCTTGTGCCATCGCGTCGACGGGTAGCTTCTTCTCGACTTAGGGGCTCCATGCGCGGTTGATCTGTTTCAGGAATGCTTTCTCTCTGTACAGCCATTCGAATGTCAAATAGCGGGACTGGACTCGATCTCTTGTGGGGGTAGCAAGAGGGGTAGTACTGCAGCAGGCCAATCACCAGCGTCGGTGCTTTATTCAGCATCCGTGATAGTGTCAGCATCACTCGTCATGTTCAATCGCCAGCCTTGTCAGCATCACCGTTCGTCGAGATGCCCAAATCAGCGCAAAGATACCACGGCCAAAAACAGTCTCTAGAGGGTTCGGCAAGAAGCTGGACGGTGTAAAATATTCAGTAGATGCCGAGGACATTCCTGGTTGTTCCCATAGGAACCTCACGCTAGAGAATCTAGACAGTGTCAGCATACGCGCGGGGAAGGGGGGACGACAAAAGCTTCGCGACGAGCTGTGGTCACGAACAAGACCATCTGAAATCTCAGCAACTGGGTGGGTGCGCGATAGTGACATGTTTGGAGGACGCGCTAAGTGACGATGTTATTGCGTGGTTGCAGTCAGTCAGTCGTGCGTAGGTTAGTTAGGGACGCCACAAGACACAAGCTACTTTGGTTAGGCACATTTTCTGTGGCACACTTTCTAAGTGTGACACGTGCTTGTTTATCTGCTTAAGCAATATGCTGCGGCTGGCCCAGGTATGTGCCCAGTACCTAACGCAGGAAGCTCAGCCTCACATGCGAGCCAGCTTCTCCAGCCCACACAATCACTTCAGTCACTAGGTACTACATCGCCTCAGCCCTTTCTTTTCTCCAGTCATATTGCTACCTCAGCTTTTCTTCTTGACCAGACCTTGTCTCCGTCTTTTCTGTCCTGTTGCCGAGGTAATAATCTTTTCTTTCTTTTCTTTCTCTCCTGGCTGCAGCCGAGTTTTACACTAGCTTTAAGGAGCATAGGCTGGTTGGAACGGCAATAGCTGGGAAGACTTTCAAATTTGGGGACATTCTGGTTGAGGGAACCGATGAGAAGAGCGCTCTCGCCGTTCGTGCGCTTAACAGGGAGCTTGACAGGGGCGACGTTGAAACCGCAGGTAGTCCAGTTTGACTTGGGGCCTGATCAGCAAAACCGATAACAGTCCGATATCAGCTGTACTCCAATAAGAAAATACATAGGGTTAGGGTTAAGGAGAGTTTAATACAAGGCCAAAGGTTAATTTAATAGATGTACTACTTAAACCCCTATAACAGCAGTAGCTAGCTATAGTCTACTAGCACTACTATTACTAGCGCCTACCTACTATTACTAGTGCTTACCTACTAGTACTAGCGCCTACTTATCTACCTACTACTACTAGTGCCTACTTACTATTACCTACTGTTACTAAAGATATTAGTCTATTTATTATACTTAACCTAAGTCTAAAGCCTAGTAATAATTTATATAAGGAAAATAAAGGATTTAGTAGATCTACTAATAAAAAAGTTATATTTCTTAGTAGTATATAGCCTACTTTAATATTATTAGAGATCTGTAATATAGAACTAAAATTATAATATATACTCCTGTTTTTGGCCTAGTGTAGCACGATTTGAGTTTTTTGGTACTTGTGGCTGGTGCTTGGTCTGTGATATTGGTCCTTATTTAAAGTGTCAAATGATATTGGCGGAGCTGATCAGGCCCTTGGAGGTTCTGTTCCAGAACTCATTGTGGACCTGGTCGATGGTAGGGGGGATCAATCGGATATCCGGTTGCGCTGAATGAGGATAGTCATGAGGTCGTTGCACATGCGCATCTGATCCTCTATATAATGAACTGACAACAGCATTCTGCCAAAAAAAAACGTTTATACTAACAACATTCAAGCAGGTATAGAGGGGAAAACCCAGCAAAAGATGTCAACAAGAGATTACATAAGATAGATAATAAAAAATGTAAAAACATATGACACCAGGTATTCGCTGGTCGTCACCGACCCAACTACTAATCTAGCCCTCACTGGCTTATCTATGGGAGAGCGGACGGGATCCCGAGTTCTCCAGTGGGTATGGTCGTATGTGACATGGACAAGCAGAATAGTTGAATATGATGTGTATCGAACTGTATCTCGAGGGACAGGCTGAGGTAGGGGCTCGTTTTCGGGTCTCGGTCCGGTCCAAGTGTCGCCTAGACCCCGCCACCAAACAACGCTATAGGCAAATTGCTGCCTCAGCCATGTCGTTCTTGTGCTTGGCCAGGAGTGGTTTCATGCTGCGTCCCTCGACCAGGTGCAGCCTTTCAAGCTCTGTTTTCACCAGTCCTTCGTTGCCAACCCGGATCGGCCAATTTCTCTCCATTTCGACATCCCCCAAGCCGGCGGCTCCGTCACCATGAGGCAGTATGCCCATCCTCTCATCGTGCCTCGCCCTTCGCCGTACTTCTGCATCCATGTAGATCCCCGACGTTCTTAGCCTCATCCTTCCTGTATATTACCAAAGCACCTCAGTGGCCGAGTCGCTCTCTCAACTACTGACTCCTACCGACGACCAAGCTTAAGTCTATGGCATCGTCTGCGAGACATGCGTCCACACCGCAGCCGCCGCCCTGGAATTCTCCTGGGACCTCGTCCTTTCAGCGCGCGGCTTCTGCAACCAATCTCTGGTCGAGGTTATGCCTTCTCGTCTTGGACTTCTGGTTGCTATTGCACAACCTGCGCTACATGGCCTTGCGATTTAATATGGTACCCTGTACCACCATCCGGGACAACTCCGAGTCCTGGCACGCCGGACAAGGTCCTCTGTCTGTCCATGTGGCCGCGCTTGTCGACGTCTACCAGTTCCTGCTTGGCTCCACCGCCGCCGCCTACTCCTGGCTTTCCTCATGCATGGTTGGTCGAGAGCCCGTCGACCCCTCGCACGCCATCCTGTGGTATTTCGCCTAATAGCCCCGGTTTATCCGAGCGTCTCACGAGAACAAGACTCACGACGCTGTCTCGTACCTCTGCGACTGGACCGTGGCTTGCATCTTCCAACGGCATGAGCTCGTGAGGGACCCCCGAGGGATGTTGACGGCGAACCCTTGTGCCCAAACGACCAACACCAGGCGGACGACGTCGTGCTCCTGACTCTCCCCGCCGGAGATTGTCTGATCGCCTTGACGCGTCTTATTATGGAGCTTTGCGCCGCTGTCGACGATTTAGGCCGCCGCTTGTCACGTCATGTCCTCGGTTACGACAGTCTGCGCTCCTCAGTCACCATCCTCTGACGAGCCACGCACAGGCCCTGGTGCAGCTGGATCGCCTGGCTGCTAACAAAAGCGTTGCCGCCCTGGGGGACGCTTCGGATTCCGAGCGCATGTCGCGAAAAGGTGTTGATCTGCCGAAGGACAGTCCTCTGTCACTTTGCAACAGCCCTTGTCGCCGTCCAACCCGAGCCAACATGGGATTCTGTCTGGCGTCTCACTTATGAAAGCCCTGGCATCGGATGCCTGCCCAAGGGGAGGGGGGGGTGTATGCCGTGGGCCTTCTGCCCCGACGCGGCCACCACCGGGTGGTCGTGGACGTTGCCCAGGAGCGCGGTTGCCACGCAAACGTCTCGCTGCAGCTGCTCAACCATGTGCATCGTATGGTTCTCATTTCGCGCCCTGATATCGGCCGCGATGCCGAAAAGTTTGGCCCAATGTTCGTTCCACGTCAGCGCCCGGACCATGCTACTGACCAGTGGTAGACACGGATCGTAAGGGCTATGTCGTCGTAGGTAGTTGCTGCGGTTGTCAATGGCCTGGAGGTGGTTCACATCCCTCTGCTAGTCGCCGCCCTCGGGGAGGAAAGATGGGTGGCGTGGTCACGGCCCCCTGTCACTGTGCTAGGAAGGCTCCCTAGGGTTTCCGTCGTCATTGTCATCGTTATCGTCGTCCCGGAGCGGCCCGTCACCATGCGTGCCACCCCTCCAAGCCCGCTTAGTGCGGTAGATAATGACACCACAAGACACACGCCGATGACCCAGATAATGTGTTTGTAAAAAGCCAGGAAGGATTTCATCACATTAGACACAATTTCTATTACTATTCTACAAAAGGTATAAAGGCAGTGACTTACTGCTCCTCTTTGCTTAGTTAATTTGGCGACGCAGGATGGGGTTGGGGCTTGGGCAGGCCAGATCTGTTTAGGGGACATGTTTACTTACTGCTGTATATATGCTTCTTTAAGTGTTCTAAAGTGTATATATTACTATAGCTATCTTAGGTAGAGGAACAAGATAGTAGTAGATTATAAGACTAATGCTACTACTACTAGCCTTATTATTCTGCCTATCTCTAGGCTATAAGTTATTTTATATTAATCTCTTTTTGCTGTTTATAGTGTAATTAACTTTATTTTTCTCTGCCTACTGCCTCTATTAATAAGTAGTAAGACCTTTTTAAGATAAAAGGCACTTATACTATTAATAAAAATACTACTATTTAATTAATTTTCTATATATAATATCTATAGGATCTACTGCCTTATAGGGAGTAAGTTAGTAAATATATATACTATAGGACTAGTAGATATTATATAGTAGTAAGCGTAGGTTAAATATATAAGGAGGGGCTTATATAGAAGAAGGCATTAATATAGTTAAGAAAAAGACAGTAGTAAGAGAGGAAAAGGGTTATAAAGGATCTACTAGACTAGTACTACTCTATAAAGAAAACAAGTTTACTAATAGTTTAAGAGAAAAAAATAAAGTAATAAAGGTTCTAGTTTATAAAGCTATAGGTTAAGATATAATTATCTAGGGACTATCTAACTAATAGCTACTAAGAATAGAGGGGAAAAGGCTTACACCTATATGTTACCTAACAGCAGTAGTACTAGTTCTTAAGGAAATATATTTATATATTAGTAATAGTAGGTAGTTATTATTAGTAACTATTAAAGTATTATAGTAGACAAGACTAAAGATATATTTAATAAGTAAAAGGTAGTTAAGTAAAAAGGTAAAGAGGTAAAGAAATTAAGAGATAATAAAGTAACTTAAGGATTATCTTTAGCCTTTAGACTTTACTATATAGTAAAGTCTAATATAATAGGGCTAGTAGCTAAAGCTATAGTAGGAACATTATTATCTCTTGTTGCCTTTCTTTTCCCCTTTGTTAAGTGCTATAAAGGAGTATTAAGAATTAGGAGATATAACTATTTAAAGAGAGAATAGCCTTATGTAGAATACTAATAAGGGAGGGTTTAGTAATAGCTTTATCTATAGTCTTATATAGTTAAAGCCAGCTAATATTTAGAGATAAATTACTTTACTATAGTATTAAGATAAAGGTAGCCTAGCTATTAAAGGCTATTAGCTGTTTAATTAATCTAAGCTAGACCTAGGTAGTTAGGATTAAATTAAGTAGGTAATAGAAAGGTGTTGCGCATATTAATTAAAGTAAAAGTCAGGCTAGTGTTATAATATATATATAATAGTAATTAGTCTTAATAGATTAATGATAGTCTAGACGCTTTGTATGTTTTAGTGAGGTTGCCATGTCCCTGTGAAGTGACAGGCTAACCTAAGCTGTCCGTCAGGTGAGAGGCGTGTTGTTTTTCCTTTCATGCAAAGAAATTCACGTAATGTTGAAGGACAGACAAGCTTGTCCTCCTGTGCTTGGAAGTTACTGTTCGTAGTACCTAGGTAGGGTGGTGGTACCCAGGTAGGTTCCTCTCCAAAATACATCTTGAACACAGACACATGAGTGTGAGAATTTGCACAAGACACAACTTGAATCATAGATGTCGCCTTCCCAGCTTGTTCAAGCCCTCATGATCAAATTCTACTACAAGCGCCCACAAGATCAGGTAGCAGGTAGGTATGGCGCCAAGCTTGCTTCGGTATAAAGGAACTCGCATAGCGTCCGACTGGTGATGTCCATGGAAGACAGAGATCACACTCTCTGCAAGCCGTGGATGTGTCTAGCCACGTGCTGGAATCGGTGAACTCGACAAATCCTGTTGCTGTGTGCTCTCACTTTACATTGTCTCGACTTTGAAGATGCGGCGTGAGGCATTCTTCAAACGCCGTCCGTCCGAGCTTAAGCCGGTGGTTTTTGAACGAGATTCGATTAATTACGACATGGAACTTGGCTCTGAAGGTGCGGTAGCTTGGGCTTCCGCACCTGAAGCCGTAGTCAGGCAGCGCAAACGACCATGTCACCTCAACGACTTCTTGACCGTTGACATCAGAACTTCGCGACAGAGAGCTAAGTAGAGACGCCTCGACCAAGCTTTCCGCCATTTCGGTATCGATCTCCATTGTTGCGCATGGGTTCGGGGTTCAGGACAAGTGCACATCTGTTTTGCCGATGAAGTTATGGATGCAGACTGGTTGAGGAAGCCATCTCTGGTCCTGTATTCGCATGGAAACAAAATGTAAGCTTCAAATAAACCGAAGGTATCCGGACGAACAGGAAAACCAAGATCTACACCCACCTGATTGTTTCCGCCCTATTCCCGGATGTTGCTTGTAAGCAACCTATACATTTTGTAGCTGCTGTCGTCGGTTTCTCTGAAAACCGCAACAGCTGATCTCACCGATTCGAACGACAAGCCGGGGAACACATGGTCCTGCGATCCGGAATCTCCGCCGAAGAGGATCTTGATCGACTGCATCTATCTGCTCGATGATCCCTGGACTTTCTGGGCATGCGGCGACCCGCGTTGTCCAGACCTCACAGATGGATCTCCGTACCCTTCAGACCTGGTCGGCGGAATCGGATGAATCGACGTCTGCAGGGTAACGCACGCGGCCTAATGTCCCTCGACGATCGGATTCGTGCTGCTGAAGTAGATGAAGAAGGGCTGGAAGAGCTGTCAACGTCGCATCGCCTCGCTGGCGAGGAGAAGACTGTAAGCCGCGTTGGCCTTCGCGTGGGACACTCGCGCCGCCAGGAACGGGTAACTACCGCAGGGAATCATCACATTGTCCGGGAGCACGTCGAAGGCGTCCAGCGTCGTCATCATCTCGCCGGACGGGAAAACTCTGGCTTTGGGATACGGGCCGGAATCGTAGGACATGACCTTCCCGAGGTGGAAGTTCGATCTCGGGCACCAGCTCTACGGCCCGAGGTTAGCCATAGACACCTCTCTGTGGATGAAATTTGTGATAGGAATGTTGGGGGCGGTGGATAGGATGTTCTGCGTGATCTGCTGCCTGCTCCATTCGGGATCCATGACTCCCTCGGTGAGGGACATGAGGCCGGCGATTAGCATCCGGTCTTGAGACCAGGAGGTCGTCTGGTGTCGCAGGGCGTGCAGGAGATTCTGGAGCTACGACGTCTGACTTCGAGCGGAGTGCGACAGCTTCTGGTTGCTGGGTTGGAGGAGTTGGACAATGTTGGTAGCGACGAAGTGGTCAAGGCAAGACACCCTGCTCAGGGAGGCAGAATCTCCTTCCGGCGACTCTCCAAGACTAACGGAGTCATGCGCCAGTATATCTTCTTCTATGTCCTTTATGACGTTTATGCCACCCGGATCGTCTGGATTGCCGAATGCAACTTTAATGGCATGTCCCTGAGAAGCCTACAGCTCGGCCGCAGTCCAACCCCTCGTAAACCACGACGACAGGACTAGAGCCGCCGCTGGACTCCCATCATCACGCCAGGAAAACTTGACCAGACTCTTGTTGTGAACGAGGGTAATTTTGGCCCTTTTTTAATTCTGTAACATCGAGGCCAAGGCCAGGCCCCCTGGCTTTCCTGTCTGTGGGCATGCAGATGGAATCCCACCACACGCCATCACAGCCCAGGTCCAGCGCAATCTTGGCGAAGTTTTCATATAAGCATTTGTTTACCTGCCCGGCTGGTTTCGCGCCGACGCCGGTACCGTCGGACCAGACGTGCGAGATGGCCATGTATTGCGGCGATATCTCGCTGCAGAGCTCGAATTCCACGTCGAGTCTCTAGGCGGTATTCCGCCATTGGGGTGGTTGGAACCGTCCTCGCTTCGATTGAATATTTCGTTGAGCAGCTCAGGAGGAAACTTCATCTCGTCTTGGCAGTTCTTGCTTTGGCACTTCTGTCCCTGTCGTACTCGTGTTGACTTGACCTCTCCGAGCTCGCAAAGCTGGGGCGTACAGCCCTTGTGCCTTTTGTCCAAGTTGATGTTTGGCAATCTCAGTGCAATCTCAGCTAAAGGCACGATGTCGGGAACTCCACGTTCGTAGAGGAATGATATATTCCACAGGCGGCTGGGACATAGGCCGTGCGCCTGAAAATTCAAACTCTGTTCCAAAGCAACGGCATCGTAACCAGGCCTCAAAGCCTCCCTAAGAGCCGCAGCATCTTGGTCGTTTGTAGGCATCGGCGCGAGCCCCTTACCGCTATCCCCCTCCGTCAACCGCGCGGCCCAAAGCAGCATCTCCACGGCGCCCTTGGCATCTACGCACAGAGAGTCCTAGAGCTCCGGTTGGTCCCATGGCTGCTCGAACATACTTTGGCTCACGAGCTCCAGTTGGCTGCTCGGCAGCCAACAGCACACGATGGTCAATATGAAGTTGCGCAAGCCAGTCCACTCGCAAGGCGGCGCTGCTGCTTCGTGGGCGGCCCAGGATGCCCGACATGCCGCGCTCCCGCACCTGACTATTCCAGACCTGAAGGCCCTGCGTAATAGCTTTGTGAATATTTCCTCGCCGGCGCATGTAGGGTCCCGGGTAAACTGGGAGCTCTCGACCTGCGTCTGGCGAAGCCATTCGTTCTGCATCGTCCGGGGGATGAATGGCCACTATTCAAGCTGCTTATTTGTGTTATCGAGGCCTTGACCAACGGGATCGGGAAAGTCCTCATTAGAGGCCTGCCAGTTGTGTTTGCGAACGTGAGAGTTCTGGCATCCGTCCTCCACATCATTCGCGCGGTTTAGAGTCTGCTCCACCAGATGTTTTGGAGGACCGAGATCGGTACGGATGTCAACGAGGCGAGTCTCGCTCTGCGGCTCATGTTTCTGGCTGTATCTGCATGTCTCTCGAAACCCAAGCTGGAATTGTGATCCGAGTGGCAAACCGGATTGGCACATACTGAGCTGAGCCAGCCTTGGTGTTCAACCAATAAGCCTCCCAACGGCAGGATGCTCGCTGATCTCGTTGCGACTTCAGCAAAGAATCATGCATCAACCTAGGAAAGGCAGAATGTGATTATTAACAGAATTCCATGTTCGTGGCGCAATTGCTTCCAAGACAGAGTGCCCAGCTGGACTCAACTCTGATCACATCTCACAAAAGTCCCGCTTGCGCTATTAATCCACACTCTTCCCGCAGTGGCCAGGAAACTGGCCAGGGTGCGAATCGCCCTCTGACTGTTTCACGACAGCTTTGCATAGCCGACATGCCGGGTGAGCGAAACTGGGCAGCAATGGAGCCTTAGCGGTCCTTTCACAGGCCTTGGTGTGCCAAGTTGTCCGGGATCGGTGAGGGCCTGCTAGACTTGCATATCCCCCCTCAGCAGGCTCGAGAGGAGCAGAGGGGTACGTTGCATCAGGCCAGCCCTAAGTCTGTCGTCCCGGGTGCGTATCTGTATTTGAGAGCCCAAGGCAATATAGACATGGCGGCAAGTAATAAGTGTCCAAGACACTACGTCTAGGAGCCCTCTTGGCTCGGTAAGGCAGAGTGCATAGATAAGCTACACCTCAAAGTGGCGCATGAAGTTTAAAATCAAACGCCACAGTGGTGAGCATGATAGAGCTGAGGGGTTTTGGAAGTGTAGGATCTGAATTGTGGGAGCTCTCAGTGCTGACGCAGAAAAGGCACAATTGGGACCGAATCAAGTATTCCTTATGCCGCAATTGCTTTACAACAGCACTACAAGCTTTGGTAACGCATTCATCAAGCTTACCTATCGACGACTTTGATCTTGATCTGCGCATGCTAACTTCAAAATGCTCCTCTTGAGCTGGTCCGACCTAGAGATCGTCCTCGATCGGTACCCATGGGCACGAGAACTCGCCGGAATTATCCCCCTCTCCGCCCTCATCGACTTCGTCGACGTCCCCCGCCGATTACACACATACCAGCTCTCCGGTGCGACGCTCCTCTGGTGCTGGCCGGTAACCCCCTCAACAAGCCGTCTCCTCTTCTCGGAGAAGACCAAGGATGCGACGTGCTGCCTCGACCGCTTCGGCCGCAGCCAGGGCTTGACGTGCCTCGACGGGCGGTACGGCAACAAATACCTCATGGCGAATCCCGAGACCCTCCGCCTCTGCCTTTCGACGGCCCCGCGGACGGTTATCCACAACACCCACGACAATATGAAGCGCGACAACGTCTGCATCTATACCCTTGAAGTGATACAGGTCTTGCGGGCCGCGCTTTCGACGACCAGGAACATGCTTCTCAATATGTACACTATATACACGTCGGCAGGTAAGGTCCTCCTCGCGGGGCTGCTCGCGATCGGGGTCCTCTCGGAGAGCTAGCTTATGACGGCCTTCCTCCTCATCGTGCCGTTGACGGGCCTCGTCATCAGGGCTATCTTCGGCTCCAGCCCGCGGCAGCTGCGCATCTCGCCGCCGAGCGACTTCAGCTTGCTGAACTGGCCGCTACGGTCAGAGCACCACTCGCACATGCGCGAGGGCCACGGCGACAGCGGCCGGCTCGCGGACTTCGACGGGAAGCCCTGAACGGAGTGGTACTGGAAGCAGGCGCTCCGCGTGCTGGTGCTCGCTAGCGATTGGGGCGGCGGCAATCAAGGGGTGGGATGCGTACGGCATCGCGTTCTGGATCGTGCTGTGCATCGCGACTAACACGTACGTGTTTAACCCGGAGAACGGGGCCTCCGCGTGGATGTGCAAGCACGCGAGGCTGAGGCTGGACATGTTTGTGACGCAGGTCAGCTCGCGCCGGGCGCTGCTCAACGTCTTCATGGCGCTTAACCGGGACACGTTCGACGTCGCCGGGAAGGGGTTCGGTCCTGGTTCGCTGATGTGGATCGATCCCGTGCTCCACGCTGGGCCGAGCCGGAGCCGGTGGTAGGAGGCGTCCAGGCTGGCGATGCTCGAGAGCAGGAATAAAAGGAGAGATGAGTCGAATTCAAGCGAGGAGACGGTCGCGGCGGCGCAGACGGAGGACTGGAAGAGGATGTATGCCGACTACTGGGTGAGGGAGATACTGAAGGGAGTGGAAATAGCGGAGAAGATTATCGCCAAGGCGGGCCTCACGGGTCGTTTCGTCAAGCAGACCACAAGTGAGTGATAGTTTGGACTTTTTCCTCCCGGGGGTTTCTATTGACAGATTCCCGCGCGAATAGCGAAGTCAGTTGAGCGCGAGGAGTCTGTAATAGGGACGTCTGAAAGTGACGAAAGCTGAATCACTACAAAGCCATTTGCGGCTTCAATAACAGACGTTTAATTTCAGGGGCGAACATATCCTGAAGCCACAGTTAAGGTGGTACATGGAAGGAGGCCAGTGCAGGCACATTCAGGTCAGGTAATAAGTGTGTAGCTATGGCTGCTGCGGTACGGATCCCGGGTAGAGAATCTATGTCACACTACAGTGGTGGCTAGTAGAAGTTAATCTAAGACTCTCTGATTCCTTATTAGGCTTAAAGTGATCTTTATATGTATTATAACTACCTAACTATATTGTGAGGTCTGTGTGCAAGATGGTTTTATGACTAATAATAAGCTAGAATATAAGTTAAAGCACCCCTATTTAGAGCACCCCCTTATTTTAAATAAACCCTACTAGTATCTAGGCAGTTAACTTAAATTACTATAATATAATAATTACTATAGCTTAACTATATATAATTAATATTAAAAAAAGGTAAATTTAATCTCTTATAACCTTGCTGTTTTTATTACCTTAATAGTTATTCTTTTAGTCTATTACTTAGATTCCTAGATATACTCTACCTAGGTAAAGCGCTTATTAGGCCCTAATACTAGCTTTACCTTTATATATAGCTTATATACCTTAATAACCTTCTTAAGCTAATTAATTTATTACTTATATATAATAATAAGTATATCTTTTAGATTAAGGCCTTTACTTACTTTATAAAATAGTAGGTAGCCTTTTAGAGTATTAACTTTAGGCCTAAGGATATAAGTAAAAGTTACTTTTGTTAGATCTCTTAATTATTTAAGAGTAGCTAGTAGGCTTACTACTAATAAATCCTTTAACTTTAGTATTAATAAAGGTAGTTTTTTAACTTAAAGTTTTTTTAGTTAAAATAGTAGTTATTAACTTACTAGTACCTTAGATAAGTTAAATAAGTATATACTAGCCCTTTTTTACTTAGCTTAGATTATTATACTTATTATAGCTTAAGTATATATAATACTATAGTAGTAAATAAAGTTCTTTTTACTAAGAGATATATAGTCTATTAAAGTATATAGTATACTAATAGACTTATAATAGACTACCTTCTAAGAGCTAAAGACTAATATATCTAGAGGCTAGGTTATATAAGAGAAATAGGTAAAAAGAATTACTATATATATCTTTTTTTAAAAGTATTATTATATAAAATTATTAAAGTAGTAACTTTTATACTTATTTATAATTAAAAGCTACTTTATATTCTTGTTTAGTAGCTTTAGTTAAGTCTAAAGGTTAAAGATATTAACTAGCTAGTAAACTACTTTTATATAGTTAGTCTAGTTATTTTTAAATATATTAAAAGACTAAGTTTTATTTACTAAAAGATATTTAAGAAACTACTATTATTATATATATTTATCTTTAAATATAATAAGTAGTTAAAGTACTTACTTTATAGCTAATATTTACTTAGTAGTTATTATTTATATATATAAACTAGGCTACTATATATATATTAATTTCTTTTTTTTACTAGGCCTAATTACTAGGCTATTAACTTTTTACTCTTCTATTATCTTAGTTTTATTTATATTTTATATATATAAAGAAAAAATTACTTTAACTATTAAAGTAGTATATAGCTTAGAATATAACTAAAGTATCTCTTATATATAAGCTTTAACTTATAGACTATTAATTATATTACTTTTTAATATCTTTAACTAAGGCTTATAGTAATAAAAGTCCTTTATTTATTACTTACTAAAGGACTAATAGTTACTATTAGTAGCTATTATATAGGTAGTAAAAGACTATAGCTAGGCGTAGGTTAGGCTAAGCCTATAGCTAGCCTAGACTAAGGCCTATATAATAAAATACTCTTCTTAAATAGCTAATAGTTATAATAAGTGCTTATAAAACACTTTCTTAGGTATATATCCTTTTCTTTAGTAGTATAAGGTTATAATAGATATCCCCTAGGTATAAGAAGCTTATTATATACTTATCTTACTACTAATGTCCTAAAGAGCTTACTAAATATTATTTTTAGTGTATTTTAGTATAGTAAAAACACTAGTATTCTTAAATAATTAATATTTAATATTATAGTTAAAATAGTTAGTGTTATTATTTAGGTTAATAGTATATATAATAGTAAAGTTAAGTATTTAAAATAAGGGGTATTTTAAATAAGGGTACTTTAACTTAGAGAGAGAATAATAGTGCCTTATATAATAAGATAAACTATATTAACAAGAGTAATATAGTAAATAAACTATAATATACTTAGCTAGCCCTTAACTACTTTATAGACCTTTATAAGTGCTCTCTTTACTCTCTAGGTATATTATATTAAGTACACTAAGTAACTAGGATTCTAGGGACTTATTACTTAAAAATAAAGTAAGTAACTTAACTATAAAATATATAATATATTAGAATATTAATACTAATAATTATATAACAGCTAGTTAGTTAACTATAAATAGTTTATAATTTAAGGTTAAAGGGCATAGACTAGTTATTTAGCCCTTAGTTATATTAAGAGGGGATTATACCTTTTAGTTAGCTAGAATTACTTAAGTTATACTTAAGTAGTATATAACTACTTTATACAACAATAGTAAAGTAGACCTATTAAGTTACCTAATAAAAAGTTAATTTACCTCTATATTTTACTAAGTATATATATATATAAAGCCTATTTAACACTAATTAATAGTTATATAGTAATTATAGATTAGTAAAAGTAAAAAGTTAAGCTATATTATATAAAGAGTTAGTTTATATAGTGTCTAACTATAGAAGGGCTAAAGAACTACTCCTTGTTATAACCCCTTATACTAAGATAAGTTATAATTTATATAAAGATCTAGTTTATATAGTGCCTAACTATAGGAGGGCTAAAGAACTACTCTTTAGAATAACTACTTATACTATTTTTCCTTATGTATAATAGAAAAGAGAAGACTATAACCTTCTTATATATATATAAGAAGTAAGTAGTATACTACTATAAGTATATTACCTTTATTAACTAAATATTATATAATTTAAAATAACTACTAATATATTAATATAGAATACCTAGAGCTAAAAAGAGGAACCTACCTAAGAAGAATATATCTTTATATATAAAAATATATTAGAAGGTAGTAGTATTATAATTATAACCTAGAGATCTTAAACACTACCTTAATACTAAACTAAATATTAAGACCTTACTAATAATTTATCCTAGAAAAAGATTATAATATATTTAGTATATAAGATATACTAGATTATCTATATAAATCTAAACTAACACTAACTTAAAAGAATAATTATAATTAACTTTAAAGACTAAATAGCTAACTACTAGAAGTATATATATTATATATACTTTAAGGAGTTTATTAGGTAAATTATAAAAAAAGGTATCTTTATTAATACTAAGATAAAGCCTAAAAATAAACAAGTAGTTAACCTTATATAATAACTCTAAGAGTAATATTAAAAAAAGTCTAATAGTTATATAATAAATATACTAATAACTACTGTTAGAGATCCTTAAGCTACTATATAATAGGACCTAGCTAAGACACTAATAAAGTTAATTAAACTCTAGGATACACTAGTAGCTTAAGGGACTAGAAAGCCTATTATATAAACAACCTTATATAAAGTATAACTTACCTAGGAGGTAAAAAGTTTCCTAAATCTTAAAGCTAAACTATACCTATACTCTAAAAGGATATCTATAACCTTTTACTAAAGTAAATAATTAATAATAGACTATATAAACCTTATATAATCTTTATTTTCTAAAAAGGCTAAAGAAAAAAGAAAAACTATATAAGAAAGCTATATAATATACTTTATAATAAAGCTAAAGTATTTATTAGTTTCTACTACTATCTCTAGATTATAAAAGACTAATATTATACTGTTTTTCTAGATATTTTATTTAATTATATAAAAAGTTTTACCTTTATTATATTAGACCTATATAAAGGTAAAATAAAATATATACTATACTAGATATATACTTTAATACTAGTGTTAACTATAGTCTTTATTAGACTAATTAGACTACTATATCTTTTATATAAGTTAAATAAGAGAATCTAGATAAGACACTAATAAAAGTACTAGAAGTATTACTAGATAAGTTACCTCTTATATAATAAGCACTTAGTTTAGGTTTCTAAAGGAAAATTATACTTTATATATAAGTTACCTAGGCTTACTAAGGTATTCTAGAGCTAAAGACTACTCTTAGTAATCTTAAGGTATACTATTTATATAAAGAGTTCTTCTTTAATCTTAAGGCTTCTCTATAAGTTACCTTAGACAAGAAGACTATATTATATAATATTAACTTTATAGACTAAAGGTATACTTTAAACTATAAAGATAAACTATAACAAAGACCTTTATATAATTAACTACTTTACTAATCCTTTAATAGAGAGAGAAAAGATAAACTATTTTAACTAAGACCTTTTTATATAAATACACCTAAGAAGTGTTTTATATATAAAAAGAAAGAATACTAGTTAACTAACTATATAGAGAAAGAATATAATTATATAAAGACTTAATATCTTTAGGTATATAATACACTTGCCTAGGACCTATATAAAGACTTTATAGCCTATCTCCTTAAAGTAAAAAAAAAAGCCTTATAAAAGAGGAAAAGAAGAATAATAACTTATATAATAAAGAATAATTCTTAGATAACTAAGAAGTCTCTTAGTATTTACTAACTTTAGCTTTCTTTTATTATATAACTAGTAAAAATATATTCTTAGCTCTAAAGACTATTAAAGTAAGTTAATTTTTGCTTAAGGACCCTTATTATATAATATACTAGGGAGAACTATAGGATACTAGAGTAGCTAAGTTTTTAACTATAGGAAAGCCCTAGGTACTAGTATACT